GGGAGGGAAGGAAGGAGCGGAGAGCAGAGGGAAGGACGGAGCGGGGGCGGCTGCAGAAGCAGCAGCCGGCGGCGGGGCGGGGAGGGCCGGGCAGCGGCCGGCTAGGCGAGCCCCCGGGGCGCTCAGGCTGTGCCCGGCAGGTGTGGGCCCCGCGACCCCTCCGCGGGCGCTCGGCAGGTGCGGCGGGGCCGCGCCGGGCGGGCCGCGGCTTTGTTGGCGCGCCCGGTGGGATGCTGCTGGAGTCGCAGTGGGAAGCGGCTGGGCTCAAATCAGCATCGCAGCAGGGTCCGGGTGGGACTTGGTAGGTATCCCCGAATAATCGGGTTATGGTGGAGTGCCTTCCTGGTGACTGATAACTAGAATCTGTTTTAGTTGCCCAGAGGCACGGAAGAACCAGTGGAAGTTGTACATCATTCCAGCCCTTCCAAGAAAAGAAGGTGTGGGGTGATGAATGCGCCGCGATTTTACTATATCACAGCTTAGGTGAGGGCTGTGAGCTGAAGATGCTGTCCTTGTTTGTGCTCTACATGTGAATTAGTGGCATGAATTCTTTAAAAGGGGAGAGATTTTATATTCCTGAGTAGTTATAAAAACAAAATAGCACCTGGGCCTTGGCAAAGACTAAATGAAGATAAAGCAGGACTTAATATTTTTGTGTGACGTTAGTCAAGTTTTAATGAATCACAGAAAAAATGTGAAATGATGTGAAATGGCCTATGGGTAGCAGTAGGGAGGAGGGGATGTTCATCTTTGTTCTTAGCATCTGTAGCTCTTCGACATGCTTTGTCTACATGAATCCTATGCAGTACCTGCACGGATGTAAAATCTTCTGCCTGACCAAGTTTGTTGTGCCTGCAACTCCTGCGCTCTCCCTGCTAATACAGCATCCAACAGTCTGTATGCCAGGGAAAAAGTGTCCAGAGGAGTAACAGTTTTATGTAAAGCACTCATAACGCCCCCATCATCAAGGAGATTTGAGAAGAAAAAAAGGGAGTATTGGGGGGAAGAGGACAAAGATGAGGGGTGTTGTAAGGTCCATGCCAAAATGAGTGTCTTCTAAAATTCAGCATATGATGTGAAGAGTAGCTGAGGAGTGTACTGTTTTGAGATGTGGATAGGTGTTTTTCAGTGGCAGACTGTAGGGTTTTTTAATTGTGAATGTTATCACTTTCATCCCCTCAGTATATTGTGGGGAAAATGGTGGTGAGGGTTGGCTGGAAACTTTTAGCCAGTTCATCAGGCTTGTCACTATTTGGTGGAGACACTAACTACTAGAAGATGGTGGCCCCTGTGTGGAAAAGCCATTGTTTTCAAAAAACCCTGTGAAATCCACTAAAGGTTTGCCAGCTGTAACAGGTCCTGTGGGTGGAAGAGTTACATTAGTGGCTCAGTTCACATTTCTTCCAAGTTGCCATACTAGGGGATGGAGCAGGGGTACAAAAAGGTTGTTTTTCCTCTAAGGCATGAATATAAAAATAGATAGAGCACAAGCTGGGGGACTACCTTGGTTATTTTACAGTTTGTTTTTCTTTTTTAAATTTGAATTAATACATGTTTGAGTAACTTGTACTTTAAAGGAGGTTAGGAGTTTTATTTCCTTGAGTGAAATAAAAGGGTGCGGTGTGGTGGGACAGGTGCTTTTCAGTGTGATTTAAATACTTCAAAACAATATTCTTATCACCAAAGATGCAAATTAATACCTGTGTGCCTTGGCCAATCTGGACTAGAAGTGTTCTTCAATTACAGACAACTTATTAATTTGCTTTTAATACAAAGCACAGTCATTAACTTCCTTTATTACATGTCTATTGTGTTTCAGAAAAATTCTATTAAACAGTTTTAGCATGCTTTTTTTGTGTGTTTTGAGGTTAGTCAGTTCAGCTTCTTGCCATGGAAGTCTTGTTTGCAGAAGATGAGCAGTGTTCTGGAGGCCATTATTTTTTTCTCCACGTGAGGAAAGAAAGATGGGTGTGAGATACATCAAGAACCTTACTTGGTGACTCAATTATGTCTGTCTTACCTGTTGAGTAGGAGGTAGCCCTTTTCTTCTTTACCTATGAGATGGCTCTGCCCACTTTCTGGAGCTCCATCTCCTCTTTGTTTTGTCTTGTACAGGAGCTGGGGGCAACTGGGGAGGAGAAGAAGCTTGGTCTCCATTGTTTGATGGGACTGATGCTGCAGCCTCCACAGCTGTAAGGCTACACCCCTGCTACCCCTGTCCCACAGCGTAAGGGGCTTCTTGGCTGGTGGGCCGCGTCATGCATGTCTTCAAAGAAACTTGTCCCACAGCTCTTGCGGTGACACTGTTCTTCACCCGTGTGCTTGCACCAACGATTTAAAAAACCTCAGACAGATCTGGTAAATCTCACTTTCTGTATATTAAAAAGTTGTATCATAGGAGTATAGTCTTAAGTATACCAGTAGAGTTCATGCTTACTATTACTAAGACAGTTTTGTAGAATCATCTAAAGTGTGCATCAAAACATAATTAAAGTCTGTATTGTAAATTGCAGTTTCTTGGTTCAAATCATGATTAGACTTGGTTCATTCTCAGCTTATTTTTACTAGAAGCGATTTCACTATCGATTTAGTGGAGGTAACTTTGGCAATTGTTTGTAGATATGGGTGTAGAAATCCACTGAAATGCACTCTTTGAATAGTAAAGGAGAAAGAGTAGAAAACTCTGTGCTTTTATAAAGGGTGTGAGGGAGAAAAGTGATGTATTTGCCAGTATTGAAATGAAACACTGAAGGCATTAAAGAATGCATACTTTAGAACTTGTAATGGATTTTATTCCTTTGGTGTGAAGTAGTTTAATGCAAGAGAACCTGCTAGCAGCTCTTATATCTTTTTGGTGCCTGGGATTAAGAAGAAGGGGAATGTGAAAAAAAAAGTGGTGCAGTCCTGCAAGTTGACCATCTATACCTGGCAGGATGTTGCAGTACTTAGCGACTGGGTGCAAAGTTCTTGGAGTTTCCTAGAATGGACTTTACCACATGTAAGCCAAAATAAGAACGTAGCCACTAGCTCAGCAGAAGGCATACTTAATGGTGGATTACAGGTCTTTGTTTTGCTCTTTGAAGACTTACTTCTCTTTTGGGATATCCCAAATATGTTAGTTGTGACTTTTATAAAAGGGGAATAATAGAACATGTTTTTTTCTTTTCATAAGATTGTACAAAAGTTTCATGTTAAGTCAGTGTAAATTTCAGTGTAAGTTAAGTCACTGTTTGTTTTTCACCAAGCTCTCGACTCACATAATTCTGTGATTCCTGTGATACCTTAGAGCCGCAGAGGATGTTGGCATTGAGATACACAGGAAGTTATTCTTAGTTTATCGGTAGAAGCTCTTTTCACAAGTCTCTTCCTTTGAAGGCTTTGTGTTCTAGTGGATTTAGCTGGTATGTGCTGTGCCATTCTGCTGAATGTCACCATTCCTACAGCTAAGTGAAAACTGTACCTGTGTATCGGGTACTGCGTATCAGTCTGGCATGTAAATGTAAGCTGTCAGGTAAAGGTGTATTTTGTGCTGATGATGTCAACAGACAATTGCAGTGGCTGAGCTGAGAAGGGATGTGATCCTTACAGGAGGAGAGGTGATTTTGGAAAAGTGAAGGCGGAAGACAGTTAAATGAGATCTTAGAGCATAGTAGAAGAGTGGCCACATCGTATCAGGCTTTGTGTCCATCCAGGCAATTGCCCCATGTCTGACAGTGCTGAGGAAAAGGCATCTGATATAGTTACTACATAATGATACTACTGCTTTCAGCCTCAAACGGTTTACTGCTCAAGGACTTCTTAAACTTGAGGCAGTATTATTTATCCAACAGCCCTCTTACTGAGACTGACTTTTCTGCAACCTTTTTTGCTCTCTGAACCTATGTAAAGTCTTAGAAGTCCGTAGCATACAGTACTGAGTCAGGCTCAGAAACCTCTCTGTCTCAGCTTTTTTTTTTTTTCCCCTTGGAAGAGACATGAACTCATTTGCATTCTTCCTTCTACTCCTGACTGTATGAACCTGTGTCATATATCCTTTCTCTTAGTCATCCACCACCAGGATGAAGAATCCTTTGGGAATTCAAACAGCTAAGACGTGCTGATGTCACAGCTATGTTCTCATTGGATGTGATTTGGAGCTATTAATTAATTTTTTTAAGGCAAATTCATTTACCTTGGCTCATACAAATGCAAGACAACCTCAAAGAATGTGGCTGTGCAGCTGCAACAGTTCAGCTTTTCAAGCAGCATTGTTTTGTCTGTGGTTGATGTACAATTAAAAACAGTCCTTCAAGTAAGCAGAATAAGGGGTGACATATCATTTACTGAAGATTGAGTTGAACTGGAAAGAAAGAACTTAACAGCTTTGCCTAAGAAGAAAGATTATTGTTTTAAATATAATTTAAATATGACAGCCCTCTGATTATAAAGTGGTTCTATCAGTACACTCGGGAGTATTTTTGCTTGTATCTGTTGACCAAAGCTAAACATGGGATCTGACTGTTTTCCCCATTGCCTGTTATCTTCTGTGCTGTCATATATGCTTATAATCTTAATTCTCATAATCTATTTATGAGAACTTTTCTAATTTGAAAATAAGAAAATAGATATCTAATCTTATTTTCCTCCTCTTTGGAGGACGATTGTAGGCTTGTGATTCAAGGTAGTCCCAGAACTGGACTTCACCTCTCTGAAGTGTATTACCATTACACAGAGAACTTTCTGCAGTGAAGTCCTAAACTGTGGCTGTTTAGATGGGATTTATGTTTTTCTAGAGACTGCAGATAGCTGTAGATTCCACTTCTCTTTGTCAATATGAGAAGTAGTTCAAGTTTTTTGCTGTTTTGTTTTGTTTTTTCCTACCATCATATTCAGTTTCTCTAAGGTGAATGCAGTAAATCCATCACTTTTGCATGAAGCTGTTGACTTAAACAGAGCTATTTATTTACTTAAAAGTAGACTTGTACTCAGATGCATCACTGAGCTGAGAAGAACGAAGTGTTTTCTGAACTAACCCTCCGATGTCCCCGAGAGGCTAGTGATTACTTTTTTTTCTCATATTACAGCCTTGGGGCTGAAATAAGCTGTGATTCATGCAGCAAGCTAATAGCAGATGGGTGATTAAAATGCAAGTTTCCACTCTTATTCTCATAGACAAATTATTAAATCTTTAATTCCTGAAAATATGAAACAGTAAAAATTGTTCCATTCATGTTGCTTATTTTGGCCCATGCGCCATACTTCCTAGTGCACCCTCTTGCATCTGCTGTATTTAAGTTGTCGGTCGATTCACTTGTATGCAAAGAAACAAGTGATTTCTACATGGTTTCATCCAGCAGAACATGCTATTGTTTTAACAGTGAATGAAAACCAGAATAGAGCTCTCCGATTTATAAGTAATTTATAGAGGTTAACTGTATCAAAAAGAAATACAGGGAGAAAAGTAGAATTCACTGTAAGTGTCAGGTACCATTTTAGATACACTGACTACAGTTTACTGTGGCTTCTTGGTTATGTTTCTTCGTTTTAGTTTGCAAGATCTGAAAATACTACAGTTGTATTGGAGGAGACTGAAAATAGCAGTATCTTCTGGTCAGTTAAGAATTCTTGAAAGCTTACAGGATAATGTTTGGGAAAAAAACATGTCCCTGCAGTTTCTGCAGTAAAACACATCTCTGCAGAAGTACAAAAATTCCTAAGTTTTATACATGAACTTTCTGCAAAATTAGATATTTCATCTGCTGCATCAGATGTCAATAAGATGTCAATAAGAGTTTTTACACTTTTATTTTAAGTCAGCTGGGATTTCTCAGGCTGTCATAAAAGTTCTTGTGATTTCCAACAGTTACTTAACTGTATTAGTGTGTTCTACTGTGTATATATTCTTTCCAGCTTTTGTACACAGGTGGAAAAGTGGGTTCCTACAAACATTGCTGTCTGTGGTCACAGTGAATAGGTAGGTGTAATTTCAGAATGAGGAAGTAGCAGAAAATGTGGAACCAGATAGGGAAATGTGGAAGCAGATAGGAAAGCATGTGGGCACCCCTGTATCTACTATTCTTAATGGTGAGTTTGAGATTTGTTGAACCGGGGACCTCCAGGGCACTTGAAGCATTGAATTAATATCTCCATTGTAGTTGACCAGGTTGAAGGCTTGTAAAGATGTGCATGTCATACTTCAGGGGTTTGCTTTGTATCACTTTCTGTTCAGTAATTGTAGCTACTCAGAAGCTTTTTAACACTCAATTCTTGTCCCTTTTTTCTTGTGTCTCTCACTGCACTTTGATTTCATACCAGACAAGTGCCTCTACCAGGAAAGCAGGAGTAACCATTGCAGTGCTGTGTTGCATGGGGGAATTTTTTTTTTTTTTAACTGGTGTGCGTTGTTTTCCTCCGCTCTTCCTCAGCCTTTTCCTTGATGGAAATTATATACTCTGAAATTAGACATTGTGGTAATAGATCAGCACTAGAGCTGGTGGTGTTTGATAGCCCAGATCAACAGAAATGTGTGATTTCTTCTGGTTTCTCTTTTGTTTTATTTTTAAGATATATGATCCTTAAAACATACTTTAAGTGAAACATTAATTTCTTTGCACCGCATAGAAGTGGAATATTTTCTTGACAAAGTTTTCAGAAGGTGAGGAGTGTAGGAGTTTTCTAGCATGTTTGATGGATTTTATTTGACAGCAGAGAAGCATGAAATATCTTGGAATATTTCTCACGTTTTGGGTGGTGTCAGGTAAAGTTTTGAATTATCTGGTGAAAGAATCAGATTCCTTTCCAGGAAAACAGCCCCAAAATGAGTAATGGATAAGCATGGCACTTCTCAGCACACAGTCACATCTTAGGAGGTTCAGGTGTTATTCCTTGGATGTATAGTGCATATGTTTCTAGTTTCTGGCAGTGTGGAACAACATAGGCTTTTATGAGTGTGATAGTGGCACAGGTTAAAAGTGGTGAAGGAATTCTTGAGGAGACTGGAGATGTTGCAGCATGTTCAGCAGCTCGTTGCTGTCTGCCTATTGGGGTTTGCTGTCCACACAGCTGAGATGCTCTGTAGGCAGATCCAGACTTGCAGGCATTCACTGTTTTCACTTAGATGCTGTGCAAAACAGAATTTGTATTTTAGGTGGTTTAAGCTGAGTTGGCTGATGTGATCAGTATGAGAAGTACTTGCTTATGTTTTAGGAATGGGTGCATGAGAAAAAATCTGGATTGTGTGGAGTAGCACTACTTGCAAAAGAGTGATATGCAAGTAGTGCAGTCATCCAGTAGGTAGATTGTGATGAGTAAATTGTGAGATGAAGCATCTGAGATATTCCAGCTGAGTCTGTGCATAGGACAGTCTTCGCTGGTACTGATGAGCTGGAAGCACATGTTTAAGTGTGGCCCTGACTAAAAGCTGTGTTGAAAAATGGATTTAAAGTCTTGCATGATAACCTGTTGAAGGCTGAAGTGCAAGAAGTTTGGGAATACTGAGACAAGGGCATGCCTGAATGGCATGACAAATAACATATTTGTACAACATATTTGTATAACTCTTCAGTAATTGGTTGTATATGGTACAAGAACTCAAATATTGTTGAAAACATTTTGAAGCAAGCTGCAAAGTAAAATACTGCATCATTCTCTATACTACAGTACAGTTGTAAAATTGGGTGATGTTCTTGTCTGAGATTGTACCATCGGGAAGAGGTGCCCAGATGACAAGCTAGTTTAGGAGACCACAGCAAAGGCATAGGTTAAAGGGAAACATGGAGAAATTTAGGTGTATGGGAACTTGCAAGGAAATGTGATATTTAGGTAGTTCAGCAGTTTGTGGGTTTTGCCCTGTATTTTACTCTGTAAATGAATTTACAGAGAAAAATTTGTATTTGTGCTGTATTTGTGACATACAGACTGTATTTGTGCAATTAAATAATCGCATTTCTGGGGCACAAGTGGCCATACAGCCAACTACAGTGCCTGCATTTTTGTGGTGCTGTTTGAAGGCTTCCACCGAGTGGAAATAAACAAGCCAATAATTTGAATTAGTTATCAATTTGTCTTTTAAAAAAGCCAGTAGCTGCTCTACAGGATAGAAGAGATCCTTTTTCAGCTAGAGAATTTCAAATAACACATGAAGAGGGAAGGAAGTGTTGCAATGGTCACTCCTGTTTTAATGGAACACTATATGGTAGGTCTCTAGAGTGTGCTAAGTATCTCCTTGTGGCTTTGTTTCATAATTTTTATTTTGAAATGGGCAACAAAGCAATTCTGCAGTCTCTTTCCCACCTGTCTTTGGGGTGACCTGTGTTTGCACTTGAGTGTAATAGTTGGAAAACTTTTAGGGTTTCCAAAATGAGGTTTGCAAGCAAAGCAGAATACTTTGTTCAAAACAAAATATGCTTGAAATATGACACAAGTGTTTTTAATGTCTGTTGTAATGAATGATTTTTTTTTTTTTCTTTAGAGGTCTGGCAGTACTTTGAGACCTTGATAGGCAAAATTGTGGTAAAATTATTTTGTAAAACTACATCAAGTTTTGCATAGGCAATTTGAGTTTAGATGATATAGCTGAATAATTAACAAACTCGTTAACTCTTTGTGTCATGCTATAATGAACCCTGTAGTCATTTCGTTGGTTTCACTGATAAATGTTGTAACTGAAACCTTTTAAGTTTAAGGAGTTAGGGTTTTAGATCACAAAATAAATCTCAATGCTGGGTCAGATTTCTTAAAGCTTTTAATCAATAAGTTAGTCCAGTATTTGTTTCAGCTAGACTGTCTTTGAATTAGCTGAAAAGCTCCTTCTCTGCTTAGCTTTTAACACCACTTTTAAAACATAGAAATGATTGAATTTTCCCTGCTGAGAGATCACAAGTTGAGTGTAAAAGCACATGTGGTGAATGCAAACTGTTCCACTGCTCATAACACACTGGGCAGTTAAATCTGGGAAGAGAAGATTATGTTGGGGAAATAGTTTAATAACAGAAAGGAGAGTGGTGAAAATCAATTTGCTGTAACGAACAGGTGCGAGAAACACTGCTGGAGGACTTGAAATAATTTTTGCACTCTGGGATAGCTACTGCAGTTAATGTTTCAGTGCCTTGATTGTCATTGTGTATACATCAGGAGATGCATTGTCTTCCATAAAAGGCTAATCCAGCCTGTTCAATAGTAACAATTCTTTTGCCTTGAAACAGTGAAGTATCAGATTTTGCAGGACGAGAGACAAAAGGCTCCTTTGCTACTTCTCTGAATAAGATTACAGTTATCACATTTCTCCTTCATCAACATGCCCTTCGCTTCAGAGTAACTCTTTGTTAATGGAAGAGAAAGAGGATCTTTATGGTCTTCCATTATTAGTAGTTTTTATTTTCCTGATTCACATTGCTATTTAATACACATGACTTATGCTTCAGTCCCCTTCAGGATTTAGTTAAAAAGGTTACCTTTCAGTTAACTGAAACTTGAGGAGCCTTCTCAAAAAGTTCTATCCATAAGAAATATTAATAGTAATGAGAAAAAGAAATCATACCAGCTTTGAGAGTACTTTGTAGAACACTGTTGACTGGAAAACCTGAGATAACAGTCAAATGCATGTTTGTGTCTCTTAAAGCAGAAAAGCATAGTGGTTTAGAACTGGTGGTGAGGATAGGCCAGACAGTGATGGCACTGGTAGTCTTTCCTCACTGAGTGCTTCAGAAGAAAGATGGAAGCAATACTAGCAACTGAAATAAAAGCTTCTGGGTGATAGGTACATTGATATGGAGCAGTCATGTTGCTTCCAGGCTTTGTGTCCAAACTGAAGCATCTCAGTAGTGAGGAAAACCACAAGGTTTGCTGAATGAGATGCAGATGGCTCTCTTGTAGGATCATTCCTGAGGCACCTTTACTAGCAATTGAATCCTGCTGTAAGTAAATTAAGAGTCCTGTATGCTTCAGCTCATTAAGAGCACTGAATAGACAGCATGAATAGACACAAAATAGTATTTGGTATTTTGTATATTTAAATGCATTTTGCTACTTCCAGTGTGGAAGGAGGGTTTGTCTCTTTCAGCTTATTTTTCAGAAAGGAAAACAGTGAGGAATTTGTTCAGCTCCTGTGCGCAGAAGAAATACATTTAGGCATTCTTTGCATAACTGTGGGGAAGCAGGGGTTGCTAGCGTTCTCATTGTTCAGCTTATTTCTTAATCGCAGAATACAAGTTAACTGTGAAAACACTCTGTGAAAAATACCTACTGGAACTATGAAGAAATGGTCTGTGCTGTACTGGGTTCCCACACCAGATGCTTTTGAGCTTAATTTTGTTGAAGACACGTATACTATTGTTTCATACTGTTAAGTGCTCAGTAGCAACTGAGTGACTGATACTTTGTACATAGCCACAACTTCAGTGCCTGTTCTTCTTTAGAAATGTGGCTTAAAGTTGCCTGTCATTGTTGTTATTTCTTTTTTCCTTTTATGTATTTTGATCTGTGTTCTGAAAGCCTGTCTCTTATCTCTTCCCTGTGTGTATGTGTGTGCGTGTTCCAGTGACTTTATAACATGCAAGACACTGATGCCAGGGGGAGCTCCCCTGCATTCCTCCGGCCTCAGAATGGGAGCAGTCACAGGTCTTCGGGGTACATCCCAGGGAGAATTGCCCCTCTCCGTCCCCCGCCACCCTCACAGAGCCATGCTGCAGCTGAATTTACCTCGGCCAGACAAGAAGCCCGGACAAGACTTCCATCCCTACCAGTGGAGCAGCACCGCCGACAGGCAGAAGCCAACAGGCATAAAAATACTCTTATTTGCTTTGCCATTTCTAGCCTTTCACTTTTTGTTGCACTGGGGATTTTTTTGGGAATAGCTTCAAAATACGCTCCAGATGGTAAGTTTTTTTGCAAACAAAATCATCCTAGAAGTTGTACTACCTGTGATCATAACTCAATGATTCAGCATCAGGATTAGTGTTGAAAGTTAAGTGCAAAAATAGGACACTTATGTGCACTAATATGACACTTATTGCACTTAATATGCACTTAATATGACAGTGCAATTTTAACATTGAAGGAGGCAGTGTTTGGGGCAAAGATCAGCTCCTTTTTATGTTATCAGTGTCGTTTTTATTATGCATGATTTGATTTACTTACATGAAACAGGCATAGCAGTAAATAAAGATTACTGGTTGAGGGGAAAAAGACACGAATGTTTTATAAGCGTAATTATTTTTGTCTGCAGAAGTTGTCTTGTCAGTTCCTAAATTGTAGGCAAAATGAAATCCTTATCTGGGTAAGCAGTTAACTAAAGAAGATAATGAAAAAGCATTCAAGTAAAAACATTTAAAAACCTGGGAGAACCTCTACGAACTGTATGTGTTTGCTGTGTTTTTACACAAATTGGGCGGGGCCTTTTTTTGATCTATTAGCCTTGATTTTTTTTTTTTCTCCAGCTCATTTTAGAAAACTGAGCAACTTTTGTGGAATTTGGAGAATCTCTGAGGTGTGTCAGTGTCTGTAAAGCATGAACAACTGATGTGATTAACTGCTGATCACAAAGTGTATGTCACTCTGGCCAGTTACTCCTAAGAGTTGCTGTGAGGTGCAGTTGGTAGTATAGTTTGGAACATAGGTTGTTTTGGTTGTTTTGCTTGAATTTTTTTGGTATTTTTAAGGCAGAAGTCAGGTTTCTAAAAGCTAAACAGGATTTTGAATTGAAACTGTTGGCTATTGTAATAGCGTACTTAGACTTCTCAGTAGCTTTTGGTGTAGTAATTAGTAAGATGCAGTTTCTAAAGTCAATGCAACACAGGCTGAACAAATCAGGGAATCAGTTGAAGATTTCAGATGACAGTACAAAATGAATGCAAACATCCATCTGGACTGCTCTTGGTGGTAGCTTGCTATTACAAGCAGATTTCTTGGGTGAAGTTACTGAGTTTTCTTAATAATAATGAAGGAAAACAACAAAACCTTCAGGAGTAGTAAATGGAAGGTTATTCCTGTGTTGCGATCTGGATCACTGGTAATGGGTACATCTACTAGTACTTTGGTTACAGACACATTCACAGAAGTCTGAAGGGTGCCTCGCCCAGCTGACTCGTGAAGTACTTGAGGATGAAGTCATGCTCCTCTCAGTGGTGCTGAGTTAATGGACAGAAACTGATGCACAGTTAATGATCAGTTAACTGATCCACCTTAATATGAGAAAGAAATTCTCTGCTGTGTAGGTGACCATGCGCTGAAACAGGTTGCCCAGAGAGACTGCAGAGTCTCCCTCACCAGAGGTATTCAAGAACTTTCTGTGCTGTGAACTCTGAGATGGCCCTACTTGAGCAGGGAGATTGGACCAGATGATCCATTGTGGGCCTTTCCAACCTTACCCATTCTGTGATAATGTGAAATCCTGACACAAGAGAAACTCCTATAAGCAGCAAGGAAGGTGTGGTTGACGTGTAGTTGTTGGAGCAACTTCCCAAAAGTTCTCCAACAGGTTGAAACGTTAATACACTTAGTTCCAACACAAGCACATGCAGTACTGCAGCGAATGACATCAGTTCCAGTTAGGTGTGTTCTTCCTCAGCGCTAATTGGAAATGCATACTGTCAGTACTTATAATGGCTGTTTAAAACGCAGTGGAGGGAATGTGGCACTTTAATTGTAAGTAAATCCTAAACCAGAGGGAAAATAATAATCTGCATTCCTGTTCCTGCCTGTCAACTGGTTTCTTTTTTCCTCCTTGCTTTTATCATCCTGTCATCTCTTCTTCTAAGGAGTCCTGAACACAGGAAATCAGAAAGAGCACTGGAAATGCAGTTTTCTTCCCCATTTCCCTGGGCTTGTGCTGCACAGTCAGGATGACAAGTGGGGGAGGTTTTCAGTGAAAAGTTCTACTTTGCCCTTGCAGCTCTTGACTGGAGCTTGCCCAGGATAAACAGGATCCTCAGAAAATTCAGCTGCCCAACTGTGATAAACTTATGCTGAGCATAATATAACACTGATAACTTTTTCCCAGAGGCCTTAAAAACTCCAGACTGGGTGTCTAAGCAGGTAGAAAGTAACTATTTTACTATATCTTGAGAACTGTTTCCTGCCTGACTTTTCTCCTGCCAAGTTTCATGTGCTGGCTCCATGGAAAGTTCTAGAGTTTATTTTTTGTCAGGGTGTTTTCTTGTGGGTGGAGTGGTGTATTTTTCCTCAGTGATTTGCAAAAATTTCACTTCCTCCCCCCCTGCTATTAGAAGCAACAAAACCTTAAGGAGAGTTGGCCCATTTTTACAGAAAGCAGAGACTTGACTTGAAGTTTTTACATGAGTGGCTAAATTTAGCAGGTCATCACTACCTACTGGTTTCTGATCTATTCAGTTTTCATTTAACCTTAACCGTAGAGGCAGTGACTGTCGTCTGTAAGATGTAATCGATAATTTTGGAGGTAACATTGGTGAAGTTTTAAATACTTGATGTTTCCATGCAGCCCACTGCAATTGCTAAGGGAGAATTTCAAAATACTTCTGCTTAGCGAATCTGTTTGCCAAAAAGTTGATCCACCATGCCCCAGAAGCACGTTTGTGTTCCAGGAGTGCCTGTTTCTGATTCTGATGGCATTCTTGATGGATTGTAATGTACCATAGATATTAAAATTCTATTTCTTTTTAGTTACTGTGGTATACCTCCTCTTTCTGACTCAAAAGAAAAATCTACAGTCACTAGATCAGCTCCTGTGAATCACATTAAGCAGAAGTCATCAGGTTGCTGACTCATGGTTTCCTCACACTGCCCTTTGCTACCAGCCAGGAAATAAGTGTTTCTTCACAGTGCCTGTGTGTGTGGTATCTGGGGAAAAGGGGTTAGAGACTCTATGAGTCAGGCTGCAGGCTTGCCTTTATCTGGTGAGTGCTCAGCAGTCTTGCTAATTGCAAAGCTTCTTGCTTTTTGGCTTTACCTTATTGAATTACATTTTCCAAATGCTATCTTCATAGAATCCTCTCAAAAGATTTCATTTTGGTTTTCTTTTTGTATTGCTGCTTATATGTCTTTTGCCCTTTCTGCAGTTTGCTAATTTTTCTGCACTGGTAGTGAAATCTTGTGTATGTGAGTTTCCCAAGTTGTGAGGGATTTGATTAGTGGAGAGTTAACACTGAAGAAAAAACATTTCTGTCAGCAAAACTAAGGCTGGCTTGTGAAACTTGTGGCTAGGTTTTGCTTTCTTTACATTTTGCAAGAATGGACTATTGCTAATAGCTTTTTTTCTCTGAAGTTGCACTTAACACGTGTGGGTGTTTTTCTCCAGAAGATAGATTGTGAAAAGGCTATTCTGACTGTGACTTTCACTTGGGCTGCTAACATGTTTATTTTGGTGTCTTTTTAGTTGTCTTTTGCATACGAAAAAATATTTTTCATCTGACTTTTGGTAACATATTCCAAGGAATATACTTTCCTTTTTATGTGGTATGCTTGTGCTGCTGCATTACTCAGATGCTTAATATGCTAAAGACGTGTGTGTTGTCAATACTACATTACTGTAACTTCATCTGAAATCACACAAGCCTGTCACTTCCTGCTCCTGCCTCTCCTTTTCTGGCCTTGTAGCTTGGTGTTATTGCCTGTGTTGTGCCAGACCTTCAGTGGAGTTTCTGCAAGGATTGCATGTGTCTCTGCTCCTGTGTGGTTTGTAGCCTGATACTTAAGCCAACTTCCTAAGGGATACAAACCAATAAGTTTAAACCCAAATGTCTTGTCTCCCAGGAAACTTCTCTAACCAGTTAGATATTAATACTAAATATAATAAGGATGTATTGTCCCTCTTTTATCCGTTACCTGCAAACCTACACTGAAAGAATTGATTTGGGTGCTTGAAAGCGATAAGCCTTTCTGACACAGGGAAGAGACCTTGAGGGAGGTGAGATATTTTACAACCATGTCAGTTAGCCTTGGTAGCTGGCCTAAGACTTCCAGTGCTCAGTGTGACTGCTCTGCATCTGAATGCATCCTGCTTGCCTCTTCTCATCTATTACAGGTGATATAGCAAATAAGAAAAAATCAGATGGAGTTCAAAAGTATCTATTGTCAACAGTGTGTGGTTTAATACAGTGTAAGAATGCCTTTCGAGCCTTGAGAGTTTAGCCACCTTTCAGATGTCTTTCTGGCTACTCAGATACAAACGGTAGTGTCAGTGGCTGCAGTGTTGTAACCATGGAATGAGGTGGGAATCCTTTGTGGGTGACTGGCTCTCTTATTTTTGTTCATCCTAATGATGCCTTGATTGATGTGATGGTGTTTTGTTTTTGAAAAGTTATATTTCACATTGTTTTGCAGAGAATTGTCCTGATCAGAATCCTCGTCTTAAAAACTGGAGCCCTGGAAAAGATCCTGAAAAACGAGTTTTTATCAAAAAAGGGGATTTGTTTCGTCTGAACTCAGATGCTACAGTACACTCTATAGTTATACAGGATGGAGGTATGAAATAGCAAGATAAACACCATGCTTCAGTGTTCTGCATATTTTTTACTTTTGTGATTACATAAAAATATATTGGAAATTTAAGTTGCAGCTTACTGACCAGTTGCTGTGCTTTTACTTTTTAGCCTGCTACCAGGTCAGGTATGTCATTCAAAAGATGAATGAACACTGTAGTGTGTTTTCAGTGCAGCAGTGATATAGTTTTCTGTGCAATATATAGTAAAGAAAAAAATTTGTTTAGTAGCCTTCTTTGTCCAAGATCTATTTGTCTTCTGTTGATACCTGTTGTATATTAGTAAATCCTACTAAAATGGCAGAAAATAATTAGGAATAAACCAAGCAAATTCTTACAAAGATAAATCACAATTGGTAACAGTTACTTTACCAAATATTCATAAATAAATATAAGAACATAACAGCTTAATTCATGGTTGTGGAAATAATAAATCTGTAATTTTTCTGTTGTTCCTATTGCAGAAGTTTTTTGAGTCTATCTGAATTTTGCTTTGACACATAGAAATACTTTCTTTCCTTTAGGTTTACTTGTTTTTGCTGATGATAAAGAAGGTTCTAAAAATATTACCTTGAGAACTCGATTTATCCTGATAAAGGATGGTGGAATGCTTCATGTTGGAGCAGAGAAATGCCGCTATAAGTCCAAAGCAACTATTATTTTGTATGGGAAATCAAATGAAGGTGCTGATATGCTAGAATTTGGTGAAAAATTTATTGGTGTGGGCCCTGAAGGAACACTGGAGTTGCACGGGCACCAGAAGGTGTCATGGACTTTTCTGTCAAAGACTTTGTATTTCTCAGGGCTGGCCTATGGTCCTTATACATTTAAAAAGAATTTTTCCCGAGGACTAAATGTTAGAGTGATCGATCAGGACACAGCAGAGGTTTTGGAAGTGCTGAAGTTTGATACTCACGAATTTTCAGAAGAAAGCTTGAAGCTCCAGAACTTATTGAAAAATAGAAGTCCTGGTCGCATTATTGCTATTGCTGTAGGAGATTCGGCTGCTAAAAATCTACTGGAGGAAACCAGAGTGACTATTCAAAATCTTTTGGGAAGTAAGTTTGTCAGAGGATTAAGTTACAGGTAAATAATTTATTTTCCCTTTTGTGCTAAGTAAAGATGAGATGCAGATTTGGAGGATTCGTTAAATTGACAGTCTGTTCATAAAGTTTTCAGAGAATTCTCAAGTTTTGCATAGTGCTGCAGTAATAGTACTCAGTGATATAGTGCAGAGACTGATAGTTACAGATATTTGTGTGACAGGTTTTATTACTTACTTGTAATTGCTCTCTTTCACTGTTCTTTACAGAAATTAAAACTGGGTGCAGCAAGCATTTTTCTCTCATTCTAAGACACAGGTGGGAAAGAGCTTCTAGGTGGAGCTTTTAATGTCTATGACTTTAGAGAAGCAAGGAATGGAACTAAGTGATCTTTAAGGTCTCACCTACCCAAGCCATTCTGTGATTCTAAGGGATGCTAATCCCGGGTATCAAATGCCGTCTTACTCATACTCCTGCGCTGTTGAAAGTACATTACTCCTCCACTGATCTGCAAAGGAACTGATCTTGGAATTTTTTTGTAATTGAAGTGCACTTATAAGGTCTTTCTGTATCTTTTGACCATTCTTTTCAGTTGGTCAGGATTTGGGTGGTGAGATGGTAGTAGTTATAACAGGAATTATTAAAGCAGGAAACTTAAACTGCTGTGCTGTTCATTTAGTTGTTGCAAAGGACTTTTTGCAGTGCATGTTTTGAACTTGGCTTGTGCTGCAGAGGGTTGTTCACAGTACTCTGGGCACACAAAGCAATGTACCCAGGTGACCAAGAAGGCAAATAGCATCCTGGCTTGTATCAGCAATAGTGTGACCAGCAGGACCTGATTGTCCCTCTGTACTGAGCACTGGTGAGGTCACACCTCGAGTTGTGTGTCCAGTTCTGGGCCTCTCACAACCAGAAAGACATTGAGATGCTGCAACTTGTCGAGAAAAGGACAATGAAGCTGATGAAGGGTCTAGAGAGTAATGCGTATGAGAAGCAGCTGAGGTAGATGGGGGTGTTTAGCTTGGAGAAAAGGAGGCTCAGGGTAAACCCTACCACTGTCTACAACAATCAGAAAAGAGGCTGTTAGCTAGGTGGGGTTGGTCTCTTCTCCTAAGCAGCTAGTGACAGGACAAGAGGACTTAATTTCAAGCTGCATCAGGGGAGGTTCAGGAATTCAGCAGGAATTTCTTCATGGAAGAGATTGTTAAGCATTGGAATGGACTGCCCAGGGAGTTGGGAGGATGTCCAGGTACCCCTGGAGTTGCTCAAGAAATGAGCCGTGATCTAGTTGACAAGGTGGTGATTGGTCACAGGTTGGACATGATGATCTTCGAGGTTTTTCCCAGCCTAAATCATTCTAGGATTCTGTGTTGGTGATACAAGGGAAAGTAGACCCAGTCTCCTAAGTGACTGTCAGTCCGTTCTTCAGCTTCCATTGAGGTGGTGTTGTATAACCTCGCTATATTGTCCAGTATTTTCCAGGAAATTTGTCATTTAGTTTTTCTGTTCTATTCTTATCCCTCACTAGACCCTGACATCTGGATTCCTGTTAGTTTCCTCCCTAAGCTTTGGCAGAGGCAAGCTGGCGTGTCAGTCAGGATGGCATGTTCTGACCTCAGTTCCTGTCAGGAACACATTTATGTCACTGGCTGTGTAAGGGTGGGGTCATGGGTTGGAAAGCACTTGCAGTGCTGTCTCTGAAGCAGTTTGGTCAGAGGTGCCAAGACCTGGATGTCCTGTAGAAGAGCACCACTTCTGAAAGCAGCAAAGCCCCTGCGGCTTCAGGTTGTTCAGGTTGTGGTGCAGCCTACCCGACCTGTCCTGAGAGGTGTAGATTTGTGGGGTTTGTCTCTGCCTGTGACCTCCACACAGTTTGTCTGAAATGAGGAGCTTCTTCATCCTGCAACTGGGAAGAAGCAGCCTTTTTCCTTCTCTGCTGAACTGATTCTTGTCTGTTTTCCGTAGTCAGTAAAGGCTCTCTAAGCACATAAAATTGTTTTGTTCTGCTGTGGAAGATGGGCGAGAAGCTCTCCCTGATGGCTCACTGAGGGTCGTTTTGTTAAACCTGTAAAGCTAGTGAAGAAGATTTCAGCATGGAGGTGAATACTCCATTACATCCCTCTCTCCTTCTACCTCTTCCTGCAAAATAACATGCATCAAAATATCTTTATCTTTATTTTAAATGTTGATATGTGAAACATTCAGATTGTTTGCTGCTGCTGCTGAAAAGCTGACCTGATATGTAGTATTCCTATGAACATGTTAATGAATCCCAATCAACAAAAATAGCAAGAGGGGACTGAAATAAAGGCAACAGGATCTAAGGTTTAATATCTGGTTTTAATATCTGCCTTTAAATCAATCATTAGCAACGGACTGTAGTCCAGATAGCTGACACTGTTTTCATTTAGAGTGAATGATTCAACTTTAATGATGCAAAATTGTCCAGCTTTTTAATAGATGATCTTGACTGCTTCCTCTATACACATGATTATGGCATTACAGAGGACAGCAAAATAGACTTGTTTTTTTGAACTTGGTGGCAGCTTTCTGTGGTGCACTGAGCAGAGCCATAAGAAGGGCAGTACATCTAGGGCAGTTCACTGCTCTGTGCTGGTGCTCAGCCAAGTAGGTGTCCAGTTGAGGGATGGACCAGGGAGGGATGAAAAACAACAACCCTAGGTCTCAGGCTTCAGAAATTTTGATCTCTTGTGCAAAGGTTGTGTAACAGCCTGTGGTTCCTTTTCTGGATCTGAGCATCCTGAAAGATTCAGAAGCTATTACCTGTCCAACACAGTAGCCAATGCCAATGGATGCTGTTGGCTGTGTCCATCTCTCCTGGCCTGATGAACATGTGGTCCCCTGGGAGGCGTGGTCACTCCTTTGGGGTGCTGCTGACTGACGGCAGCAGGCCATGGCAGGAATGTTGGCACTGGCTTCTGGTCTTCCTGTGCCCTACTAATGCTTTTTGGGAATAGGATCCTGTGTTGCTTTTGTTGCTCATCTCTAGTGATTTTGCTTTTGGAAAAAAGTGTATCCTGTTGAAAATTTTACTAAAAATGTATATGGAACTCTTCTCCAGTGACAGCTCTTTTATTTGTGAATTTATATATAGGACATCCACTTATTATAACAATTTTTCTTTTCAATGAAGTCTGCCCATTTTCATCTACATTTTGAAGTTGCGTTTTAAAATTAATTTAGAAGAGCAGACAAAAAAGTTTTTTGACTTTGGTGCTCCTTATGTTTTCCTGTTTTTGTGAAGAATTGTTAAGGGCCATTATATTTAAACATTTACTTTTGATTTTCACAGGCAAGCCTGGGCTTTAGTTGGTGTTATAGGTGGTGGAAATTCTTCCTGTAATGAATCAGTGAGAAACTATGAAAACCACAGCACTGGTGGGAAAGCTCTTGCTCAGAAAGAGTTTTTCACAGTGGACGGTCAGAAGTTTGTTGTGAGAGCTTACAGCGAATGGAATGATGGTAGGAAAGTGTTTTCTGAAATGCTACAGTTGGAGAAGAAGAAAAATATTGTATATGCTTTTTTTTCTTTTTTTGCTAGAGCTATTGGTTGCGATTTAAATTTTTGAATGCTACTGTAAGTTGTTTTTTGCTTGCTGTGGATGAAATATGAGGACACAGTTCTTCAGTGCTACCTCTTTTCTCAATCTGTTTGTATAGAGTATCTGAGCATTATCATATTGTGTTAACTTTTTAGTATATCTAAATAGAGATAGGAGTGTTATAAATGCTGATTTTTTTAAAATTTTATTTTAGTATTTTTTCAACCATGTATATTTTAAATCTAAGCTTTTGAGATATTGATTATGGTGCTAAAAAAGAAAACTTGATAGAAGCCAAGAGAAATGTTTTATTCTTGCTACAATTTTCTCTTGCTGTTTGAATGCTGAAGTTTAGGCAGCTGTTCTCATACAAAGTTGAATCTGCTATAAAAAGCTAGAAGGCCTATCACTTATTTTATCCTTTAATCATTTTTTAAACTTAAGGTATCTTTGATCTGAGGTTTTTGTGGGTAGTTATCTCTTTCTGGTTTTAGAATTACTAAGCAGTGTAGCGTTTTCCTCACAAGAATTTTTTTATGGTAGTCATGTATTTATCTGTTAAGCAATTAAACCATTAGGTACTACCCTTTTACTGTTCATTATGACCCTATGAAAATGTACTGACTTGTATTTAGGTGGATTTTTTTAAAAAATATATCTTTTACTTATTGGTGCTGTAGAGTTAAGTTCAAGCGTTAGCAGAAGCAGCTGAACTTGTGCACATCCATCATAAGCCAGTGAAATACCATATGTGTGTAATTTAGTCTGCCACATTGTTCTATTAGTTGTGCTTAAAAAAAAAAAAAGTTCCTCTACTTTTTTTTCCAGGGCCTTGATTACATCTGCAGAGTTTAAAATGGCAAATGTCACTTGAAACAAGCAGAGGTAGCTGGACCTACAAATTGTTGCCATATGATATTAGTTGTTTGGTTTGTTTTTTGTTTGTTTTTTTTTTTTAAATCACAGATTTTTCCTGTTGCTGTTAGTTCTGCCTTTTCCCTTTGTTTCATTTGAGAGCAAATAAATAAGCAGGCTGTAGAGGTATGTCACACTAGCTTGTTTAAGGTCAGAGTTGTAGTTTAGAGGGCTTTGGAGCTTGCGAAATCTCATACATATTTTATTAGTATCTACTTGAGAATGGTTTCATATGAAATTGAATATAATCTTACATTGTGTTTACTTTTTTTCTTTTGAATTAGGTGTCCCAGTTTCAGGCTTCCAGGTGGAAGCAGTAGGTGGAGTAATACTGAATCTTCTGGATGATGCTAGTAGTTGGGAACCTGGAGATCGGATTGTGGTTGCAAGCACAGACTATTCAATGTATCAGACAGAGGAATTCACCCTTCTTCCCTGCCCAGAATGTACCAAGCATCAGGTTAAAGTCAAAGGTATGAGAGCAGTCCCCACTTGAAGGCCTGTGTGAAATATATATTTGTGCATGAGCAGTCCCCTGCAATGGCAGCAGTAAAGAACAGCCTTTTCACATATCTCTGTGTGGCTTTGTTGCCATATACACAAATGTGCAATTCTCCTTGCTGCAAAATGACTCTATATAATGTCAGGTCTGCCTCGCAGCTTACTGTATTAACTTTTCTTTCTCATGTCTTCCCAGGCTTGTTGAATGCCTTAGTTTTTTCCAAGAGGATTATGCTTGTTTTCCTTCTTTTACTTCTTTCTGTCTTTTCAGAAGTTCTCTTTATATGTGCTTAAATAGCTGTTATAATTATTACCATTTCCTTTGCCTTTAGTGTCCTTCCCATCTTTTGAACTGTTATCATTATAACTTTCTCTGTTGTTATTAAAAAAGGAGAAATTAAAAAAAGGAAGAAAAAAGAAAATTGCAATCTTTGAACCTGCACCTTTTTAATTTTTTCTCCATTTCCTCAGTCTCCTCTCCACCCCTCACCAACAAAATGGTTATAAAATAAGTGTCCCTTCCAAGACTCTGCTCACACAGGATATCCCTGAGTGGTTGCAATCTGTTTTCCTTTGGGTGTGATGCACACCAAATGGTTGTGTGTGTTGTTGGCCATTTCCTTTTTATTATCTGAGTCATTCTGCTTGACATCACAAGAGCTTCCCAGGGGACTGGTTTGCCAGCTATGCTGACGCCTGTGTTTTCCTTCTGCTGCTTCACACCAGCTCCATGCCCTCCTTCTTGATGGTCCTCCAACTTCTCATCTGGAGCTTTCCCTCTCACCCCTTCTGGTGGGGTGCAACATCAGTTAGTAGCGCAGACTAATGAGAAGTGTTTTTGCAGTGTTAGTCTTTTAAAGGTTTTTAAAAAACTTGTGTTCACAAGATTTACAATATCGCATAAAATACAAAATCTTGGTTCTTTTTGAAAACAAATCCTATCTAAACTATTTATAGATCTTTAAAAGATGTTAAAGGAAGTGAACTTGCCCATTTGTTTGGGTTTTTTTCACCCTCAGGATGAAAAACTTTGTCACAGTTGCATATACAATTTTAAAAAATCCCCCCAAAACCCTACATATTAGTTCTGTGAAGAAAGAATTTTATGTGGAATGGTAAACTTGACATGCTGAAGAATATTTCATTTTTTTTAAATAATTTCCTGAATTTTTTGCTAAGCTTTTAGCTAGTTTCACCTCTTTGTAGTAGGAAACCTAAAAAGTATTGTGTTGTAGAAGCCCTAGTTGCTCTTTCTTCACTTGATTTATATTTGATAGTCAAATCTAGGGGAAAACAATAGGTAAGCCTTCAGGGAGAGGAGTGCAGTCCCATTTGCAGACATCGTTTGTCTTTTTAAATCCTCAACAGCAGGTACAGGGTTAATATCATTCTTAGTTTTGCTTCTGTGATAGTTTAGGGTTTTCCTTCTGTAAGCTTTGAAGGGATAGTGACAGTCTGTATTCAGCAACTAATAAATACATTTTTTAAGGTTTACATGACTAGATAACTTTCTCATTTCAAATAAGACATTGATTGGGTTTAGGAAGAACAGTAGGAAGAACTTCTCTTTCCTAGTATTAGTTTATGAATACTCAAAATAGCTATCTAGGAAAGAGGAAACTTACGTAGGAAAGCAGATCCTTTTTTGTTTTAGGAGAGGATGAATACAGTATTTTTCTAAAGGTGTTTGGGCCTCATTTTCAGTTCTTAATTTGTCTTTGAGACAGATTAAGTAGCCAGCATCTTTTTTTCTTTTAGAGCAAGTGTGTGTCTACATTTCACTAAAAGTTTTTTAAATACGTGTGATTAATTTAAACTTTTCTTTGTTTTTTTTTTTTCCTATCCTGTTCACAAACTGAAATTAAGACACATTTGCACATTTGCAAATAAAATGTTGATATTTGTTTAGGATTAGTTTCTTATTAATATAAAAGATACATCTACTATAACAAAAGCTAAGAGAACAGTGTGGTAAGAAGAATGCCTGGGTTTTGTTGCTATGTTTAACTTGCTTATTTATATAAGTTGGTTCTGGTTTTAATCAGTGACGACTTTTTTTCTTTTTTTCCCCCCTTCAAAACTTTTGTTGAACAGAAAATCCTCAGTTTCCTCATGTAGGAGAAGTTATTGATGGAGTGGACATGAGAGCAGAAGTTGGAGTTCTTACAAGAAATATCTTAATAAAGGGAGAGACAGAAGATACCTGCTACCGTGAAAAGGAGTGTCAGTTCTTTAGTTATGATACGTTTGGTGGACATATCAAGGTTTGAAAAACATTTTAAAGTAATTTTCTGTCATGTAAAGGCACATTAAGGACAAAAAAAATAATGTTAAACTTTAATGTATTTGAAAACATCAATTCACACAGTTACTTTGTGTAGAAATGACTTTGTTCTCAGCTTTCCCAAAAGTAGAGTTTGCTCCTCAAGACTTGTTCTGCAGAATTGGAGGAAGGGATATCAATGCACAGGTGTTATAGAAATATCCAGCAAGTATTGCAATGTTTTGTGGCAGGTGTTAAACCTTAAAAGTGATGTCCATGTATGTGCATCCAGTTATATTACAGAATAAAGTTTGATCTCTCTCTTATCTCTTATTCCTCCTTTCACTGCCTTCTTCCCTCCCCAAGTGTTGAACACTGAATCCTAAATATCTGCCTCATCTGAAACTGGTCACTAGAGAGACCTGGAGGGAAAAGAAACTGTGTTGGACCATGGGGTTTTATATTTAATTTTTTTAAAATTTGAAAATACTAAGGTTGTATAAAGGAAACTGCTTCTGATTTCTTGTATTGTAAACATAAAGCTGAGGGAAAGTAGTATTATAGAAACTAAAATTTAAACTTGTGTTCACTTACATTTTTAGAGGAAAGGTTTGAGCAGCAGTGCTTCACTGATGCTAGAGAAGTTTGAGGCCTCATATTTTAATTGCTAATGTATTTGGGCTCATTATGTGGTCATCACAGTTTAAATCTCTTTCTAATGTATTTGAATGCAGATTTTAATTTTACAGTGGTGGACATAATAGTGAGAAAGAAAATATGCCCTTTCCCTACTGTGTGGCAGCTTTTGTTTTGTAGAAGTAGGTGGACTCAAGGCACTTCTTTGTGTTTAAGATAATGTAATGAAAGAAGATAATGATAAGCTGCAAATCTTGCAAAGTGTGACCTTGTTTGCCACAAAAGTGTAAATACAGCAGACCCTCAGATGTCTGGAAGCTAGAAAACAAACATTTTGAGTCATTAAAGTTGTTAAACTTTTTCCAGGAGGCTGTTCAGAGTAGTAGATGGCCACTGCCAAACCTAGACTTAGCACCACTAAAAACATTTTTTTGTTTTTGTTTTTTATTTTTGTTTTTTTTTGTCTTAGCTCCTTGCAGCTTGGCTGTTGCACTTGGTTTATGTTTTCATAGCATCACCTGCATTATTGGTACAGACCCATCATGATTTCACTTTGTACCTAATAGCTTTACTGTAAAGTTGTATGATTGTGAGGGCAATTCCTTATCTTCCTTAATAAAGAAATTCATTTTTAAGTGCTGTGTCCAGTTTTGGGTTCCCGTTGCAAAGATGATGTAGATGGACTGGGGTGTGTCCAGGGAAGGTGGTGTGTGGCAGTAAGTGATGATGAGTGAAGAAGAGCTGAGAGAAGGGATCACGTTGCTGTCTCCAGGCACTGGTGGGGGTTCAGAGAAGCCAGAGCAATTCTTGGAGGTGTAGAGGACAAGAGGCAATGGGACCAGGCTTCAGCAAAGCAAATAATGCTTAGATACTGGGAAAACGAAAGGGTAGAACCAATTTACGTCTCTGTGGCTGAGGGTATTCTCTGAGCAATGTGCCGAGCAACTATCTTAAAGCTGACCCAGCATTGAGCTTCCAATTGGACTAGGAATCTCATGAGGTTCCTTTCAATCTATTATTCTGCAGAGCTGGTTTTTATTCAACTAAGCCTGTGCCAGGTGGACTACACTGGTGCAGCTTCAGTACAGACAGATTCTGATGTGGGTGACTTCTCTATTTGGACAGCACATGTAAAGAATATGTAATGTGCCACCTGATAAAGACCAAACAGTAAAGTGTGGCAATGTGTCTGGTGAAAATTCATCTGTTTTAGCCATGAGGAAGTTAAACTTTTTAACTTATGTGTGAAGGATACTATTTTGTGAGGCACTGTGTAGAGCAAGACTGTAACGATTGTTCTAACTTACTTTGTTATCTTGTGGCAACTGTGTCCATCTAACTTCTGTATCTCTGGTGTAGATGATGTATTAATTTAAAATTTCCATTGGTTAAGAAGTAAATAATCAGTTATTCACTCTGGACTTCATATTTTTAGATTTTGAAGAATTTTTCATCTGTTCATCTCTCCTACGTGGAATTGAAGCAAATGGGCCAGCAGCAGATTGGAAGTTATCCTATTCATTTTCACCTTTGTGGGGATGTGGATGAAAAAGGAGGTTATAGTGTTAAAACTTACCTGGAGGGTCTTTCCATTCATCACTGTTTTTCCCGATGTGTGACTATTCATGCAACTAATGGCTTGCTGGTAGGTGCAAGTAGAGTAAAACATACTGTGTTGGAATAAATGTTAAAGAGCACTTAGACTCCAAAAGAGTTCCCATCCGTTTTGCAAGTTTAATATTCAGTGATGTTTTTGTTATTTCAGTGAATAACCGAACAATTGCAAACAGTAATTTATTTTTAACAGCTCCCACCATTCTGTTTTTTCAGATTCTTCCAGGCAGCTAAGCTCTCCAGACATAATAGTGTGTTTATAAGGGATAAAAAAAACTGAGTGTTTTGACTCATCTGAACTGCTGATACTGAAGCTTCACTGTGCAGATGTGCCAAGATAGTATAACTATATGGTATTTGTCAAATAAATCTCAGTAAATGCTATTACTACTGACATAATGAACTTGTATTTCTGCAGATAAAGGACACCATTGGCTACGACACACTAGGTCACTGTTTCTTCATAGAAGATGGCATTGAGCAGAGGAATACTTTGTTCCACAATCTTGGGCTAGTCACAAAACCAGGCACTATTCTACCTACAGACAGAAACAGCAGCATGTGTATTGGTATTAGGGATAAAGTGTATGGAAACTATGTCCCAGTGCCAGCCACGGACTGCATGTGAGTATGTCATGGTGAAAAACTAAACCCAAGCCAGCTGCAGCATGATCTGCTGATGATCTCTCAAAGAAATACAGATGGGAACATTTTTATCTATGATTTAGTGAACACAGACACCTTAAATATAGTTCACATAGTGGTGTTTAAAAAATAAAAATAAAAAGTAGCATTTAGTCTTTTATTAAAGATAAAGCAAGTTGTTTTATAGGAAGATTGCTGTTCCTTGTTATACTAGTGGCCTTAAAAGACTATTGAACATCTTTACCTTTGTGTAAATGTATGCATATTCTCAAGTAGTTCCCACTAGAGACAAAAGTGATAGTTATTTCTTGTGAAAGCTTCTTAAAACAGTTTATCATCACATGGGATATTTGCACAACATTAAATGCAATATTGGGCATTGAACTATAAAAAAAAAGGCACTTTTGTCTTCTAAATGTGGGAGGTTTTGTGATTTTTATTGCATATATGAAGTAGTGACTTCACCAGTTTAGCTTTTCCTGATATGCTTGTTAGCAAGGGGAGATTTTTATTGGAGCTAGAGCTTTTCTATAGTAACCTGTTTCTGAATAATATTTCAGGGCAGTTTCGACATTCTGGATTTCTCACCCCAACAATCATCTTATAAATAATGCAGCAGCAGGCTCACAGGTGAGGCATATTGGTGTAATTCATCACAAACTATTCATGTCACTGGTATCTGTAAAATCTATAACACACTGCCGGAAGTGCATATATTTTTTTTCTTTTATATGAGTATGTTCTTGTTATGTTTGACAGTCTGTTGACATTGAAGGTGCAGGGTGTGTCTAGACATACAATTGAGAGATACCAAAAATCTTTTGTTCTGGCCACAACAGAGGAGATCTCTTCCCCTTAGTAGTTAATAGACCTGACAATAGTGTCAGTGTGTATATGTAGAAATTCTTTTATTTTCGCAGAAAATAAAAGTGCATTTCAGTTTAGTGCATTTCAGTTAAGGCTTCTGTATTTTCTGGAGGTTGTCATGAGTTAGTGACAGCTCTGCAAGGTTTGTCTTTGAACTGTAGTCACTGGAATGAAAAAATGACTACAAAAGGGTGTTCATTGTGTAAGAAACAGCTAAACTACTTTTTCCTGTCAGTGTTTACTCATTTGTTTCCAGTCAGTGACTGCTGGTATGGGTTTGCTTGTTGTTAACCTTATATTAGTGTAACTATCTTGTAACAGCTGCTTGCGAAGTAGAGCTGAACTACTCTGTACATGTTGTGGAGGAGGTGGGGCTGGAGTCTGTTCTGCTTCTACACTGGAGGAGACTCTGAGATATGTATGGTTTTGAGTGGATTTTTTAAAAGAGACCACTGGGATGGAGAATAGGAGAGATTGCTGGTGGTTGTTGGCTCCAGTGCTGTGTGTGTATTTTTAGGTACAGATAACATAATAAACTGTTATTAATAAATAGAGTAGGATCCAAAATATTTAACTGAGTTGAAATATCTAAGATATAAAAAAAAAATTCATACAAACTCTACACTGTAGAGCCTTTGCTGGTACAAACTATAGCAATTCACAAGCAAATAATTCCATTCCTCCCTCCAGCTCCTTCATTTCGCAATGAAGCCTATTGTAAGGGTGTATTGGCAGTAGATGTTTCTTTTGTTTTGGCTGTGTATGAGAGAGAGGAGGGAAGAAAAAAGCCACCCTTTTTGTATTTCTGAATGTTTTCAAGCGCTTAAGAAGCTTTTAAGTTTATTTAACAATTTTTCAAGCATCAAGATATATTTTGGATAAAATTTACTGCCAAACATAAAGCTGTATTTAATTATATGTGAAGTAAGGTTTTGGTGTTTTTTATTAATGGAACATCCACATTTGCTTTGTAATGGTTAGTCACTAGAAATGTCAACGTGTGTCATGACAGTGGATGGGGAATATTGCTGTGAAGCAGAATTTCCAGGTGATGAAAAATGAGCATATTCCCAGAGTGAAATGTTTGAAATCTTAAGCCAGTGTGAATTGGCTTTATCCATCTTTCTTGAAAAAGATGATGGAACATTCAGTATGCAGTGTTTTTTTAGCTACTCTTCAACCCTTTAATGTGCTTTAAGCAATTTTTTTTAATTATTATTTTTTATTTTTTGTTGTTGTTGTAAAGGCACAGAGCATATGGTCTGGCAAAACTTTTCCTTTTTGTAGGTATCTGTTATGCAGGTGTTGTCATGGTACTACCCCTTTTGAACACAGATGTACTTGAAAGGGGAAATTTTGTGGGTCTTATTTAACAGTCTTATTTAACAGCTTCCTTAAGAGCAAGGATGTGGAAGTAGAGAAAATGAACAGATACTGAATTTTTTACTGCTGTTATTGCTACAGTGCTCTGAACTGACCGGACTTCTTGATATGCTTTTTTTCCCACTCTTCTGAAAGCTCTTGTGGATTTTTTTTTAATGTGCTATTTAAATTCTGATGTGAGCAGAGATGAACCACCTTTAGTCAGGCTGTAACAGTAAGGAGAGAAGGAATGGTTTTGACTGTATTTTACTGTGAATAGTATGATTTATTACTGAAAAAAGGAAAATCAAGTGTGTGGGATGACATGTAACCGGAATGCAAAACTTACATTAGCTTGGACACTTTTTCTTCCTTAAGTATTAGAAGATCTTAAATGTACTAGTGTTACCTGATTTCAGTGAGAGGCAAAATATGTTTTAGTGTGTACTTTTCACTACAATATAGACTAATTTGCAAAATCCTACTTTCTCATTGGGAAGTTGTTTGGAAACATTATTTAAAAAAATATATTCTGTTGGGTGCTGTTGGTTGGGGCTATGCTCTTACTTGCATTTTTACTTAAAATGTCCAGGTTCAGCTTAGCATACACTTATTTTGTGAATAGATGCATCAACACTGATAGTATTATCAGAATAACTTATAAGTAGTGTTATTCTCTCCTTAATTGCAGGATGCTGGAATATGGTATTTGTTCCACAGGGTTGCTACAGGAGATTCTCATAGTTTAGCCATTGAAACCAAATCAGAGCTTACACCCCTAGGAATCTTCTATAATAACAGAGTTCATTCTAATTTTAAGGTAATGTATTATCTCATTTAAAAAAAAGAGTGATGTTCTTTATTTGCAAATATTCTGTATTAGGATTTGTCAGTTTACATTTTGAGCTGGGTAGATGATAGATTTTTGCTGTGTTTGAACTGTATTGTAGAATGGTTTAGAATCAGTATGCATATTTTTTTTTTGCCATGTTTCAAGTATTCACTGTGTTTTATATCCTCATAAGTATCAAGCAACTGAAACCAATTAATGCTTCCAATGAAGTACTTTTTCTCAGAAGTGGCATTTCAGGTGCTACTCTTTGTAGCTTTGTTTTCTACTCTGAAAGCTGACCCTTGAAGAATCAAAGTTGATTATAGTTGTAATTCATCTAATAGCTTCCTGGAGTAGCTGTGGCTTGTTTTTCTGAATCTCTAATGTACAGTAACTCAAGTGTTTGCACATGGTGACACAGTGTCTGGCTAGAAATTAAGCTTCAGTGTTGCCTTCGGGAGCCCAGTTAGTTGCAACTGTTCTTTCTTACAGATTCTCAGCTTAGATAGAGGAATTGATGATTGTTTTATTAGCGTGACTTTCATACCTTTTCCACATTTTAACTAAGTGAAGTTAAAGTCCTTAAAGTATTTCATTTGGAATCTACCCGCTCTCTGTGTGTGGTTATATAAATATAATGACGTTTACAAAGCCACCTAAACTCTAAATCCTTATTGGTGTTTGCAGTTGCCTTATAGACTTTTTTTTTGCCGAGTGAACTGATTTTGCTTGACAGTTGGTTGTCTGGGATACAAAGAAATGATGCAATGTTTTATGGAGGTTGTGTTAATGATCTGTTTGGGACTGCAGGGCATTTTCTTCAGATTGGAATGAAAACATACCGAATACAAAACTGCAGTAGGAAGAAAAAACTTTCATCTGTATAGCTAGTATCATCTTTAAACACAGTGTGCTGAATTTCCATGTTAAAAGAGAAAATTCCACTAGCAGGTCTAACAATCTACATGCGCATGAGACTTATTTGTAATCATAATTTGGATCAGAGGTGAAAGTAGTTGCAGGTATTTTTATGGAATTCAGGTTAAAGAACATAAATGCTTCTTCCTTTTATTTTCTGAAGTAAATTATATCATACTGGATTATAAATTTCCAACCTGATGATTGCTTAGACAAAAGTACTCTTTAATGGTGAGAGTAGTTTAATTTTAAAGTGAAATACAAAGGATTTTTCATAGAGAATAATTTGAATTCACCACAAGATTGGATTCCAGATTTTCCAGAACGCCATCTGGAAATAAATGTAAAATCTCAAATAGATGTTGTGAAAAAAATCCAAAGTGAACTTTAATGGTTTTCCATTACTTTTTTTTTTTTTAATCCCAGATAGTTTATTTCCTCTTCCTAAATTAACACAGACTGGTTTATTATATTATTTAGCTAGTTTTCCCATAGACAAAATGACTATTAAAGCCAAAGTGAGAGATCTAAGATTTTCTGATTTGTGTATGGAATGCAGTGTTTAAATTTTATAAATTCAGTGTTTGTCTATCTTTAATTTTGGATAGTATGAATTTTCTTTCCTTGCTTGTTTCAGGCTGGTTTGTTCATTGATAAGGGTGTTAAAACAACTAATGCTAGTGCTGATGATCCCAGAGAATATCTTTGTTTGGACAACAATGCAAGGTAAAGGACATTTTCTTTCAAGTGAGTGAAGTTTTGAGGCTACTCTTACATTCACGAGGAAAAACACTTGTAAAACAATACAATAATTTATAAATTATAACAAAACAATAAATTCATATATTTTCCCTCATTTGTTCATGTTTTGGGAACAACAGGGATGGGATGTCTTAAAGGATTTGGCTGTTTCTTCAGAATTCTTGCTCAGGGTAGTTTTCAGGCTCCTGGAAGACATTGTTTTAAACATGCTCTACTGTCATGCTTAAAATGTTTTCTGGAATTGCTGCTAAAAGGAAAGTTTTCCTTTCAAATCTGATCATCTGATTTATTACTCAGTTTTAACTAATTGCTAGGAAAAAAGCTTCTGTAGTACATCCACTTGCCTTTCCTACTGCTGAATGCTTTCTGCCATACATTCTGGACTTCAAGGTGCAGCTAAAGAAACTCAGAGAGACTGAGCAAAAGCCTGTGAGAGTTACTGGAAAAGAGAAGTTTTAGATTCTTACTTCATTATACCCAGAAACATTTCTTTAGTAATAAAAGAGCTAGAGATGCATCTGGATTTAATTTCTATCATTCCAGATGTGGAGTGGACTTTGCCCATCAGATGAGCATGAGCGTTTATCTTTAAGGCTTACTTTATCCCAACATACACGACACATGTGAAACAATGTTTTCTTCTACTGAATGTCTGGATTTTTCTCTCTCCCAGGTTTCGACCTCATCAAGATGCAGACCCTGAAAAGCCCCGAGTTGCTGCCCTGATTGATAGTTTAATCTCTTTCAAAAATAATGATCATGGAGCCTGGGTCAGGGGAGGGGATATCCTCATTCAAAACTCAGGGTAGGTACTTGGAAGCAAACGGCTGCACGATGTTACAGAGTTTATGTAAGTTACATTAAAACAGGGTTGTGAGGAGGATTACTGGTTAGCTTGAGGAACTTCTCAATATCATCACCAGCTTTCACACCATACTTGAAATATACAAGTTTATATGTGATTAGATGAGAACCTGCCTTAAGCTGCAAAAAAAAGAAACCTTGTCATAAAAAGAGTTCTAGAAGCTGTAGAGACAGTGAATTTAGACTGAGGTATTCAAGGTTTCCCTGAAGCTCTCATGTCCTGTTTAAAATGTGTAGAAAATTCTTTGATTAGTTTTTAACAACAACATTTGTAGAAGAGTTAGGTGTGTGGTGGTTCTAAGTTCCATCAAGAGAAAAATTCAGGCTTTTCTTCAGTGCATAGCAGGATATGCTCTTACAATAGCCATTGTAGGGTAATCCAAAGAAAAACCCTGATGTTTTGAACTTCTTTTTAGGTTTGCTGACAATGGAATAGGTTTGACATTTGCTAGGTGAGTACTTTGTTTCTGTGTTTTCTTCCATGGAACCTTAGAAAATCTACACACATTTATTAAAATTAATGGGTATACATTCATAAGGCTGTAGTTTCATTTCTGGGCCTGGTTCTATTTCCAGTGGTACAGATGAAGTTATAGAGGCTGTAAACTGGCACAGCTGCCAAAGCTTGCACTTTATTTAACCCATATTTGATTTACATCGTGGTTGGCTGCCTCTTCACCAGAAGTGCTACATTTATGCAGGTGTTCTTGGTTTTGTATGATTCCTTAGGCAGTTTTTTATTTACCTTCTGAACAACTGAAAGTGAATAATGGAAAAGAAAGGGGATGAGCATTTAGAGGGGGTAGAGTCTCTTTGTAATGAAAAAAACCCGAGTAACTTAGATAGTAAACCAAAATTGTTGCCATTTAGGTTATGACAAACTGGTTCTAGGATTGCCAAATGAAAGAGTGCTGCATTAAAAAGGGAGTTATAATTTTTAATGTTCAGCTCTCTGCTGAACATTTCAGAGAGTGAGCTCTATTAGTGTTTGTTTATAATACACAGATTTAATAATTAAGTCAAGTAGGATTGTTACAGACGTAAAAGGAGGGCTATGCCTTGGTGTATTCATCTGCTGGAGAGTCTCGGCTGAAGACTGACCTCTGTTGTTGCTTTGATAGTGATGGGAGCTTCCCGAATGATGAAGGTGCCAGCCAGGAGGTATCAGAGTCACTGTTCATAGGTGAGAGCAAGAATTACGGGTTTCAAGGTGGCCAGAATAAATATGCAGGAACTGGAGGAATAGACAACAAGACACGCACTCTGCCTAGAAATCGGTAAGTATATCGTGAGTGAAGGAAGTAGAAATACAAGAAATATTCTCTATATCAAATGTAAACACTTCTTGCTTGAGCTGTGAGAGATTAAGACTCCATTGAAGGTGATGATTTTTTTTTATAATGCTTTGTGTGCAACCATGTCACTCACCTCTTTGCTGAGGCAGTTTCATCTGATGCTACTGCAGGTCACTTTCCTATAGCAAGTTAAGATGTTGTACTTAAATGACACTTCTGTCTTAAAAAACTTTTAGATCTGGAAGAGAGAAAGAAAAAAGCGTTCAGGTAAAAGAATTTCAAAGGTCAGTTTGGGGCTAGGGACTGAAATCTGTCTGTAATAAATCACAATCTGTGACTATGATCCTTTTTTTTTTTTCTCATTGACTTGCCCTGAGGCTTGTTTAATGTAGGGTCAAGTCCTTGCCACAGAATAGGAAAGGAGACTGTTGGTGTTTAAGTCCATCTGGAAATTAGGCCCCACGAGGCTGCTCCCACACTCTCACCCCCTCAGGTGAGAGAAACATAAGACAGAGATCTTGAGTTGAGATAAGAACAATTTACTGGAAACGGAAATGAGATAAGAAAAAGAACAGTAACAGCAGCAATATTAATAACTAAAGTATACAAAAAGAGGGTGATTTACATGAAGAAAAAAAAAAGTGGTCACTGACTGACCTGATCCATAACCATGGAGCTCCCAAGACAAAGAACAAAATTGCTGACAGACCATCCATCACTGTGTCTTTCCCTCAAGCCCAAGACAATGAAAAACAGTGGTGGACAAACTCTCTGGTGGGGACCAGTGTTATGCCACTGCTCCATTATGCCACTGCTCTGTTCCCTGGAAAAAGGGGAACAAAGAAGAGTCCCTTTCCCTTGCTCCCCACCCGTGATACAAGATGGTATTGAATAGCACAGTGTCTTGGCCACACCCACACAGATCCAGGCTCCATCCCCTCGTGTCCTTGGTCAAAACCAGGACAAAAGGTGAGTTAAGTTTAGGCTACCCTGTTTTTTTGCTGCTTGGCCATTTAAAAGAAATAAGTTAATGTGGCGCTGATAGTTGAGGCATTCAGTCTAGTTGAGGGGAATCACAGAACATTTGAGGTTGGAAGGGACATCTGGAAGTCATCTTGTCCAATTCCCTTGCTCAAGGAGTGTCACCTAGAGTTGGTGTTCCAGAGCCATGTTCAGGTGGCTTTAGGGCACCTGCAGGGATGGATTCTCCACAGCTTCCTTGGGCAACTTGTGCCTATGCTCAGTGTGCCTATACTCACAGTGAGAGTTTCTCTTGGTGTTTAGGAGGAAACTCCTGTTTCTCATATTGTACCCTTTGCCTTTTGTCCTGTCACAGTGAGGAGCCTGACTCCATCTTCTTTGCACTCTCCCTTCAGATGATATTACACCTTGAGATTCCTGCCTAAGGCTTCTCTGCTCCAGGTTGAACAGTGTGACGTCTCCCAGTGTTTCCTCCTATGGGAGATGCTCCAGGGACTTATCTTTGTGGTCCTTTGTTGGACTCTCCAGTATCTCCATATCTGTTTTGTACTGGGAACAAGCACTGTATGTGTTGCTTCACCAGTGCTGAATAGATGGGAAGGATTACTACCCCCAGTTTGTTGGTAATCCAGTGCAGCCCAGCATACCTTTTGCCTCTTTGTGGCAAGGGTACGTTGTTTGGCTTATGGTCAACTTGGTTTTCACTGGCACAAGAGGTGTTACTCCCAAGGTGCAGGACTTTGCGGCTTCCCTGTGTTGGACTTCATGACGTTCCCATCTACCCATTTCTCCACCTGTCAGGGTCTGTCTGGATAATAACACAACCCTCTGGTGTATGAGCTGCTTCCCTCAGTTTTGTGCCCTGTGCAAACTTGCTGAGACTATACTTAGACTAATCATCTAGATTACTAAGGAAGATGCTGAACAACACTAGATTGAGTACTAACCTCTGGGTTACACTACAACACACCTCCAAGTAGACTTACTGCCGTCACCTTCTGGGCCCAACCATTCAGCTGGTTTTCAGTCCATCTAGCTGTCCACTCATACAGCCTGTACTTCATGTGGATCTTATGGGATCCTTAATATGTCAAAAATCTTACTGCAGTTTTGGTAGACCTTGTACACTGCTCTACCCCCAGCTACCAGGCCAGTAATTTCATCACAGAAATTTTCAAGTTGGTCAGACATGACTTCTTGGTGAACCCATGCTGATTACTCCTGATGACTGAAAATGGTTTCCAGGATTAGCTGCTCCATCATTTTTCTGGGGATCAAGCTGAGGCTTACCAGCCTACCATTCTCTAAGTGTTCCTTCTAGTTAGAAGTGACATTTGTTTTCCTCCAGTCTATAGTCACTTCTCCCAGTTGCCATGATCAGTCAAAGACCAATTGATATTTTTTTCCTACTATATTTTTCATATTGGAAAAGGAGCACATTTGCCAGTGGACAGTGATAGCTCTTCTAATAGGAAAATTAAGAGTGGGGGATTTTTTAATTCATTAGAGAAGTGCAGAAACCATATTTCCTTTACTAAGATCTGTCTTGTGAGTCATTGTATTAATATGCTTTCTTGATTCCTCTGAAGGAAATTCAGATTCAGGCATATCATGGTTTTTGTTACAGAATGGTATAAATATTTGCTTGCATCTACAGGACATTTCCAATCAGAGGTTTTCAAATTTATGATGGACCTATTCACCTTACCAAGTGCACATTCAAAAACTTTGTGCCAACTCCAGACAGATTTACCAGTGCAGTTGGATTCCTGATGAAAAATCCATGGCAGATGACACCAAAAAATAATATTTCTCTTGTGAAGTTTGATCCAAACGTAAGTTTATTACAAGTTTTCCTTTAGTATTATAAATAGTTTTCTTGTATTTAAAAGAAGCAGACAAAGCCCTAGGTCATCTTTTCCATTCATCCCTGCTCTGCAGTGTCTCTCTTGGTTGGCAGTCACCCAAGGTGTATTCTTTGTCTCCTGAGCAAAAAAAAACAATACAAAAAGAGGTAGGACACATTACAATAAATGATTCATGGCTTTCTGGTAAAGCTGAAAGGAAGATTTAGTAAGATTTTGTAAGGTTAGGTATATCCTTAGTAATGAATTTTCAGTTGCAAATGTTAATACTGTTCAGAAGCAAGAGCTGGCCTAAACCCATTACTAAAAACAGTGTGTCTGGCTTGCAAGATTCCACTGTCTTTGCCATAAGCTTTTTAATCAACTGTCAATTTCTGTGTTTATGCAGATGTGCAAGTGGTGGTCCGTGCTTCACCTGTGGGAAAAAAAATTAAATTTTTAATTGTTGTTTTCAGGTTTCTTTGAAAGCCTTCTTTGGAAAACCTGGTCCCTGGTTTGAAGAAGGAGATCTGGATGGTGACAAGAACTCAATATTTCATGATCTAGATGGTTCAGTGACTGACTACAAGGATACCTATGTGGGCAGAATGGATAATTACTTGATTCAACACCCCAAATGCATTAATGTTACAGAATGGAATGGAGTGGTTTGCAGTGGGAACTATGCACAGGCTAGTACTCTTGGCTTTCTGTTTGGGGCAAATCTACAATATGAACTACTTACAGGGTCAAAAGTAGTACAAGAAATATGAAATTACGTCTCTTTAGATTTCAAAACGTTTTATACTTTTTGAAGTTCTTTTATGTATATTACACTTTTCAGCCAGCTGTGTATCATGTCATGTTTCTTTCAACACACGGGCTGGGAGTACATTGTTAGATGCTGCAAGCTAAAAGTAAATGTGGATGCTTGCCAAGAGTTATATGTTGCAGCCCTATATGCTAAAACATTTTTACGTTGGAGGTGTTGTCTTCCACTTGGATTCTGTCTGCTTTTTTTTTCACAGAGTGGATTTTAAGAGTTTATTTGTTTGATTTGTTTTCTGGAGATGTTAAATACATCTTCTGAATACAAGTCTCACAGATTTGATTCCCATTCTGGTTCCTGGTCTATGTGCTCAAGTATCATAGCTGGTTCTTTTTTTTTTTTCTTTTTTTTTCTCCTCCCTCCCTTTTTTCATCTGTCAAATGGGCAAAATCTACAATAGTTTTTCAAATAGTACTTCTATTCAGGAGATATTTGTGTATTACATTACAAATAATGTATTACATTACATATCAAGTTGCAGCATTTTGCTCAATAATGTACTGATTTTGCTTCACTATTTCATTTCCTTTTGCACACTGTCCAAATCTTCCACTTTTATTTCATCCTCTTTAATATCATATAGGTTTATGTCCAAACCTGGAATGGACAGAATCTTTCCATGACTATCATCCGAGATGAGTACCCAGCCAATCCCATGGTTCTTCGAGGTATTAATCAGAGAGCTGCCTTTCAGCAATATCAGCCAGTAGTGATGCTCCAGAAGGGCTATACAATACATTGGAATGGAAAATCTCCAAACGTCACCTATCTATATCTCATTAACTTCAATAAGTATGTTCACTTTTTTCATGTGTGTGCTCAAAAAGGGACAATTATTGTGTGTGAGAGTTTGCAACCATGCAGAAGACTGAAACTGGGGTTGTTTTTTTTTTTCACTTAATTACAAATACTGAAGTATGAAAAGAGAATAAGCGGCAGACCTGCACCTGAAGTTAAATATTTGTCCAATGCACTGCCTTTAAGAAAAAACCTTTAGAGAAGAAAATGTGCAAATAGTGAAGTTGAGCAGAATTGGAGTTGAATAATTTATCATGCTTGATTTTGTTGTCAGATAAACTTATTAAATGTCTATGAAGTATAAAAAAAAAGGTTCTGAGAGAATCAGAGTTACTGTAACATTTAATGAAAGACTGTGCATAGAAGGAAAGAATCATAGAATCAGCCGGGTTGGAAAAGACCTCTGAGATCATCAAGTCCAGCCCTTGATCCACTACCATTGCGATTACTAGACCATAGCACTAAGTGCCACATCCAGTCTCTTCTTATAAACCTCCAGGGACACTGAAGACTTTATGTAGAGAGGGGAAGAAAGATCTTCTGGTTGAGGATTTGGGAATTTTGGTGTTCCTGTTGCTTGTTTTTTAAATGATCTGTTTGCTCTGTATTGACATCTAAATTGTTCCTACAACAATTCATACATTTTATTTTGTTTTTAGGAATGACTGGATTCGTGTTGGTCTTTGTTACCAACCAAATACAGATTTTGTTATAGTTTTGGAAACCTTTCAGAGGCGGTCATCTGCTCTGTCAAGCAAGGTGGAGCGCTACCTGCCTGTCTCTTCGATGATGGAGCTTGAAAAGAATCGATCAGACAAGAAGTTTTACTTTGACAACAGTACTGGGTAACTCCTTGCAACTTGACCCTACTAGAATAAGTTGTTTAACCTTAAAATGTCCAGTTAGATAGTGTTAAAAGCAACTGATTGAGACACCTGCATAAGAGGAAAGCTGTAGTGATGGAACCTAAAGCCTCTTCAAAAGAATATTTCTCTTCTTGTGTCTTTACATCTCCAAAGTGCAGTGGTTGTCACTGAAATACTTTTCAAGAGAACTGCAGTTGCCAGTGATATTTCCTACCCCATGTCTGGGGAAAATGTGGTATCTGGTGTGCTGCAGAGCAGTGCCTTTCAGGAGCTAATTTCTTAGTCTTGAAGATTTCTGCCTTTTTGTTAAACTGAACATTCTAGAAATTTCCAAGAAGCTTTCTCTTCCAAGAACATTTAAAAACTGCATTTCTGAAAATACTAATCTGTTTGCAGCTGTCTCAAAAGAACATAAAAAATCTAGTCTCTTTTTCAAAAGTACTTCTAACAGTGGCTACTGAGATCCTTCTGAGAAGTTTTAAGATGTGGTCACCTTTCAGTAAATGCAGTCCTGTGTACATCACTTGTGTGTTTTGCAAACATCGATCTTAAACTTTCAATTTGTTCTCTCATTTATTCTGTTCTTGTCTGCTACTGTATTTGTAGTACATATGCAGATGAATGTATTTTTTGAAAAGACATTTATGTTCTTGTCTAAGAGCTGTAGTGATAAGTTGAATATGTAATAGAAGAACTGCCAGTCTCTGTATACTGTGAACATAATGGACTATTATGCCCTACATTGCATTTCTAGACATTTGCAATAGCACAGCTTTGTTGTCCAGTGCTGGTTCATGAAGCTGAATATCCAAACATTTACTGCTGCATGTCTAGAAAGATCTTATGATCAAAAAAAATATTTATGCTCTGCAATTTGGTTTTGTATCCTTCAAGCCACTGATTTGAGGACTTTGCTTCTTTGCGAAGCATCTGCATTCATATCAATGTCTCCTTTAACTGTTTGAAAATTCAGGTACATCATTGGAGACTTCCTAACTCTAGTAAACTGTAAATACTTTGAAAACATTTGGATATCAATGCAGAAGTGAATATTGTAGTTTCTCTGTTTCTGAAAATCATGAAATATAGCTATTAAGGTTTAATATAAATATCTCTATTTCCACCAGTTAATTATTTTTCCCCTTTTTGTGTAGATTACTGTTTTTATTTCTTCAAGCCAAATATAATAGGGATGGTCACAGTTATTGCTCATCTCAGGGATGTGAAAGGATCAAGATTGTGACCAAAGATTCAGCAAAAGGCATAAGTAACTGCATGGCAAAAGCTTACCCAAAGTACTACCAAGGACCAACTGTCATAAAGCAGATGCCAGCAAAAACTACTGTACCATGTACAAAATGTGGCACAACTCAGGTAAAATAAAATAAGCAAAGCTTTTCATGAACTGTAGAATTGGTGATGCTCTCTACTTACTTTTAGTCCAAATTTTAGTCTTTCATCACAGAGTACTGAATTTACCAGTTTGCACTGGCACATTGTTAATCTCTGCATACCAGAAGGTGTGGAGTTCATCGTACTTTTTATTCTTTTTGTCTTTTGTTCACCTTTCACGCAGTGCTACTGAGGGGGCATAGGTAGATCTGACATCTTACACCTCAGTATTGTCTGTGCTCTGTGTACGATGTAGAACAGGTTTGCTGCAAAGATCTATGACCAACCTTCTCTTCTCTATTTTTGGATCTCTACTTATTAGCATGAACTTGAAGTTGGATTACTAGTACCATAAATCCATAAATAATGACACTGACATATGGATACTTTTGCTTTGGAGCATGGGCTATCTGTTGTAAACTGACATGATAAAATGTTGAAGACACATCAATATATATGTAATAATTGTTTTGTTTGATTTCTAGATGGTATTCACCAGTGATCCTCATAAAAACTACCTCCTTGTGCAGATTAATTCATGTGGTGCAAAAGAGTCAAGCAGGGGTCAGCAAGCATTTATATCTGTAAGTATTCTTTATGGTTTTCTTCTTAAATATCATTTTAGCAGTTTGTATTATAACAGTTGTACAACTCTAAGTAATGCTTACCTCAGTTTTCTTCACTTGAATAAAAAGATTGGTTCATTGTTTAAAAACCAAACAGTCAAAAAGTTGATGTTTTACCTCAGAAGGCAAGGCTTCAAAGCTCTATTGTGTATTTGAATCCTTTCCTTCTGGAGAGAAAAATGTTCCATTAAGGAAGAGTTTAAAATGTTCAGTTTCATATTTAAGTCTGTGTGGGTATATGTTTATGGCTGGTTTTGGAAATACACAAAACACACAGCCTAACAACCTGTTTGTTTAATCCTGGTGTTGAAATTGTCCTTGTGCTAACAGATTAGAGAGTTAAGATAATGGGTCATGGAAGTCACTAAGTTTTGCTAAAGTCCTCAAAGTGGCAATTACTAAAGAATCTGTAAGGTTTCTATATTTGTTCTGATGTGACCCTAATAAGCCTAGTGAATGTAATACTGTATAAAAAGTAGTTTAATTTGACTTCTCCATTCACATGCTGAAGGAGGCTTGCGTGTGATGCTGAAATAGCATTTGCAGACACCCTTGCACCACAGAGGTTAGTCTGCATGTGCCTTTCATTCTTCGGTGTCAGTGTGTTGGCTTGGTTGAATTATCCAGGGAGACAAATGTCATGTGAGTAGCATAACCTTGGCAGCTGCAAACTTCTATAGGAATGTGTGTGCCCTATCCAAAGCAGTAAGGGCACTCACTAGCGACTGGGCTGTTTTAGGGACCAGTTAACTGTACTGTTGTCCAGAAGTCCAAGTGGTTCAGAATCTGAATTTTATCTTCCTGAAGCAGGAAGAATGATGGAGGCAGGTATCAAGTCACCCGAAGTGTGCGATATCTCTGTAGAAGCTAGGGACTTAAGACTCCTGTGCAGTTTCAGAAGTCCACTGGCAGCATCCTCTCAAGGAGAAAATTGAAGAGATGTTAGGGAAAAGCAAGTATTTGTAAGGAAATTAGTATACCACTTTGTCTAAACTAGAATACAATTAACACCGAATGTAGTAGAATTGCTCTTCAATTCATAATAACTTTAAGAAAGGAAGAAAAAGAGTTTTTTCTCTCTCTTTTTCCTCCCATTCAGGTCAATGACACCATGTTTTCCTTCAAGGATAATGGTATACTTACTGTTATAATAGATGCATGCACTGGCACAGTGTTGGGAAACAAATTGTTTTCTGGAGTAGACATTAAGCATGTACATGGATATTTAAAATCTGGAATTCCACAAAGGTATGCATAATAACCATTTATTTCCAATATGTCCTGTAGGCTGTAGCTCTGCTCTCTGATGAGGATTTAAATAATGGTGTCTATACAGGAGCACTGAAAGTGAGCAAAACAGATATCTAGGTTGAGGGCAAAGGGCAAACACAGGTGCATTTTAACAGACAGTTTAGCCTTATTTAAGAAAATAAAGCAAATTTTGAACATTTTTGATTTCTGGTGTTGCCTGTCTTTCACCATTTTTTCTTAACTAAACATCATGTAATAACACTGCGTAAAACAATAACTTTTTATTTAATAAGGGCACCATCAAGGACTATGTGAAAAATATCATATTGTTCTCTCCTTTTAGGGAGAAAATTGCTTATCATTAAAGAAAGATAAGGAGTTAGTGTCAGGAAAAAAAGTCACCATGGTAATATACTAATTAGGGATCAATATCTAAACTTAATTTTTTGAAACAAAATATTAAACTGTGTTTAAATATCACTTTACAGTGATTTTGAAGTTACATTTTAAAGTTTAAAAATTAAAAACTTCAGTACTACTTTGAGAAAAGGTTGACTGTTTCCATGTCATGAATACTCTTAAAGAAGTGGACTATGAGGGCAGCTAGTTGTAAAGGCATGTAGCAGAATATTAAAAAAATGTTGTGTTTATAACGGCTGCTGTCTCTGCACTGTTCCTGCTGCAGGTCTATCGTTCTGCTGAGCACAAGAGGTGATTTAGAAATTCCTAATAATTTAGCAGAAGCCTTAATGTCCCTGGGGACAGCGAAACCACCTTATCTTCAGAGCAATGGTTGGTGGAAATTTTGCACGTTTTCTTTGACACCACCTTAGACTGTGTGTTTATGTTGGCGTGGTGGGTTTCTCATGGGGTGTGTGAAAAGGATGCAGCTGGTGGTGAGTAGTTGCCAGTTTACACTGGTGTGGGCTGCTGCATGTCAGCTCTTGTTGGGAAGGGAGAAACATCTTGTCAATGGGGCAAAAAAACCTTCCCCTTGCTCCAGCAGGCATTGTGTGAAGCAGAAACAGAGAAATGACTAGCAGTTCTTTGTGCCTGTGGATCGTACAAAAAGAGTCCTGGGCTCTTTTTTGTGAAGCCTGTATTTTGTGCCTCACCCACTGAATCTATTTTTAAGCAATCTCCTGTGCCTGGCTAGTATTTCCTGTTCTAACAAAATTTGAAGCTAGAAATGAGAAGCTCTTGGAACTTTGAGGGATGATCACTCCATAAGCCACACGGGGTAGCTCTCGTCCGTTCAGAGTCTTGGCACAAGTTGTGGTTCAGAAAGCAGGTTTATAACTGTCCAATTAGCTGTGTTTTCAAATTAAGATTTCTGAGTATTTCATACTGAATATTGAAAAAGGAAATTGCAAATCATATTTCTTTGTGAGGTACAAGTGTAGCTGAGAGTGGATTAATGTTCTGAATAATGTGGGGGAGAGAATTTTGAAGGAGCATGCCCTTTTCTTCCTAAGTGGTCGTTTAATGTGCTTCAGTGAGCTTGGCTGGTTTAGTAATGCTGAGCTGTTTTTGTCACAGGAAGCCTGGCCTTCCTGGGCTTCAGAGGAAACTTTAAGCCATCCTGGATTAAGCTGTTTACTGGTCCTGCTGGGCATGGGCTCGTTCAGATAGAAAAGTATATCCCTTTACAACTGGAAGAATATGGCTGTGCCAGAGCAATCAAAAGCCGACGGAAAGACCTCGAGCTTCTGAAGAAGGCTACAAGATCTCGTTAAAGACTTAAGATGTACATAAAAGCTGGGGAAAAAATGTGAACTAACTTATTTTTTAATTTATGGCATTTTGAACTATATTATTATCCACGTAAATCATGTTATTGTCTGACAGATGTTTGCCAGCGTTGACTGCTTGAATGCCAATCTGTGCACCTTCTAGTTGTATAAAATATTAAAGAATTTATTAGTATTTGTATAAACAGGTTTCAGAGATTTTTCAGATGTTTGTATTTACTGTAAACAAGTTCCTTCTGTTTATTACTTCTTTTGTATGTAAGACGGTGTTCATAAAAGCCTTAAATTTTTAATAACAGGTGTTGGAGTGCATCTTGGGTTACTTGAATGATTTACATTAACGCTTCCATAAGCAGCTTGAATTGGTCATTATAACTTACACATTTTCCCTCGGCTGTTTAGGTGGGGTTTTGGGCGTTTATTTAGCAGTCGGCTTAGTTACATTCTCAGTCTGCTTTCTAGGGTGTTAAAACCCAATTTCCCTTATGCATGTAGCTGATTCAAGGGGTTTTAACTGCAGTAAAATTTTTGCTTTCCTGTGTGAGAGATGGAGGGGGGAATTCAGACATCCGGCCTGGGGCTGGGTGAGGGTTGTGTACCATGCAACACAGTTTTACAAGGCTATGTGTACCAGCATAGCACGCAGAACAGGAAATTACTACTGTTTTTTAGTATCATTGTTTATTATTCCCCCTGAATACACAGGTGTGTCTGTGAAAGTTACTGTAGTAAGTAGTCTAGATGTTAAGGCTGCAGTCTCGAGTACAGCTTGGCTTCAGCTTAGTCTTTTAAAGCTTGTAGCTAGAAGGGCAAAGCTGAGATACTGTTATTCCCAGTTTGTTAGGAAACTAAGTTTCTGCTCTTTCAGTGATATTTTTTTTTTTTAATTATTTGTTAAGCTATCCCGGCTTTAACTTATAAATAAATGGAAAGTGCTCTCAGTTCATTCAGGCATAAAGCTTCCGTTCATTCAGGTTATATCTTTTGCCTTAACTTTAATCCTTTTAGTATACTCATGTTGTTAATTCTTATTGACTTCATATTAGGTCCGTTTGATTTCTTTTGGTTTTGTTGCAATTATGTGGCCTTTTGTGCAGATGATGTGAAAATCATTTAGAAGAACAGGGGCACAGTTGCCCTTTTTCAGGATCCTGGTCTTTGAAATTAAATTTCGGGGACTGTAGAGATGCATTTTGTAATAGGGAACAGTAGGTGCCATAGACCTAAAATGTAACCCTAGTTCTTATAAAACTGACATAATTATTTGTATATTTTCTCATTCATTTTACATGTATCTACCATTCAAAGACTCTTTGTGGGTTGAATTCAAAATACAGTGGCTGTTGCAAATGAGCTATAGGCCTGTCCTCTCCAAAGAAGTTGAAAAACTGTGGGGATTTTTTTTTTATTATTATTATTTTTTGTGTGTGTGCTTTAAAGGAGAGGAGGCACAGTAGCAGATCTATTATTCTGGTCAGTTGAAATATGCTACCTCAGTGCTACAATTTAACTGCCTGGTCTAATGTAGTTTCCTAAGTGAGAATGGAGGGGAAAGGAGCACAACAAAAGAGATGAAATCAACAAACAGATTACTGACATTATTTTTATTGTAAAACCAAGCCAAATGGATGATTGTGTATTTTGCAGTTGCTTTGATGTTCTGAGTACAAGTTTTTCCAGTAATGTTTAAAAAAAAAGAAGTCATTTTGTTAGGGGAAGATGTGATAAGTCTTTGACTAGCTATAATGTTTGGTGTTATTAATGCAGGGCAATGTGATTTAAATGCTCTGAGTGCAGTAGTGGTAGTGTTTGGGGATTAAAATGGCTTTAAGACTTCCTCTGTTTTGTGGGTAAAGCTCAGCAAAGAAATAATGATGAGGTAGTGACCCTCAGGCTTGTGAAGTTGGCCATTATTTATGAAATTCTGCTGTTCTAAGCTGTCTAGTAAAAATTGTCCTTGGAAGTCTCAAGAATATTCTGATGTAGAGCTTACTGATGAACAATTTGACATGAAGTATTGTCTTTTGGTGTAAATTTAAACATTTGATAAATAGCATAAATAAATTCTTACATCTGACAAGGCAATAAAATTTTAGGTGTCTTCTATTCTTGTATCAAGTGATTTTATAATATGTGCCATGTGAATAAGATAAACTATTTTATTTCAAACACCAATTCATCTATGAAATTTATGGGGCATATCCTACTCTTCTTTCCCAGTATTCCTAACTTGTCTGAATGGAGACTGATGGTGACTGAAGTTATGGGCCTGTCTCAAAAATCAGGCATCTCTAAGTCTGAACTGCTGAGTGTAGAGTAATTTCAGCTTGCAGGGGTGAGCAGTGCAGCACTGTTATTGTCTCAGAGGCTTCCTGTCCATGTCTTTAACTCTCTGGTGGGGGAGTAAAGAAGATGAACTGAGCCTATTCTCGATGGTGCCCAGTAGCACAGAACAAGAGGCCATGGACACACACTGAAATACAGGCAATTCCACAAAAACAGAAGAAAAGTTTTTATAGTGAGTGGTCAAAGCACTGGAACTGATTGCCAGCGTGGCTGTGGAGGAGCAGCTTTAACTAACCCTGCTTTTGGACAGCTTGTGTCCTGGGCCCTCTCTAGCAGTGCCTGCCAGGCTCATGCTGTGGTTGTGGGCAGTAAAAATCACTGATGTGCTTGGCCTCTCTTTTCAAGCACTCCAGCCACTACAGCCTGCAAGGGCTGAGCCACCCACTTTTCATGTCTGAAATCCAGGGAGACCTTAGAAGTGAGGCATCTCTGCCCCAAACCCATTCCAAAAGGTAATTTTCTCTTCATACTCAGTCTTTGTATACAAATAAATTGATTTCCATTCCTTGCTCAAATGGTGTTTTCCTACAGTAAAGAAATTAAAAAACAAGTAACAACAAAAGAATAAATTAACTACTTGGAGCAGGTAGCAGATCAACAAGACCCTCTCTCTGGGCAAAGGCATTGCTCCAAATACACTAGATGAGGAAAGGGGACACCTATCCCTAAAGAGCCAGGCTGATGGCAGGGACATGCTGGAGGAAAATACAGACTTAATTCTGCATATTGTGGGACTGCAGTGACAGTTGAGGTCCCAGATAACTTCTGACCCATGACATGAAAATAAGTTTTCCTGTTTGGGGCAAGTCCCATGATTTCCTCTCCTCCTCAACTCCTTTTCACATAGGAAGAATGTAGATCTAAGGATAGTCATCCAGCTCTGACTGAAAAGCCCACTCAACTGGGTTTGATGATAGCTGTATCTTATGGTACACTGGTCAGTGAAGGTCTTGAAATGGTTTGTAATGGTTGTAATTGTTTAAGGTAATCCTTAGCGACTGAACATCTATGAAATGCCATGAAAAACAGTAGCCTTTGAACTTCAAAATGGCATTTATGTGAGCTTTTCTCAGTCATTACTTTTCTACCTCTTCTGGTCATACTTGTTCTAGCACTTTAAGGAAAGGTTCTGTCCTTTCCTAGAGTTCACAAACATTTTTCTTTTCTAATGCTTTATCATTGTCCTGTGTCTTGGGCTAGTTGGAACTCTGAGATAATACTCTGTATTGAAGTATATAAGGCTACCTTCGGCTTGAGAGAATTTATGAGATTTTTAATTTTATGGCCTGGGAATACTGCAACTTTGCAGATTAAATTTGTACTAGGAATTGTAACTTGCTAAAAGAAATATTTTAGAGAGAGGAATCATTATTGCCGCCTCCCAATACTTAAAGGTATGGGAGAGCGAAGAGAGTCTTGCACAAGGGCACATAGTCATAGAAAAAGGGGGAATGGCTTTAAATTGAAAGAGAGTAGCTTCAGATCAGATATTAGGAAGAAATTTTTCACTGAGAGGGTAGTGAGGCACTGGAACATGTTCCCCAGGGAAGTTGTGGGTGCCCCACCCTTGGAAGTGTTCAAGGCCAGGTGGGGCTTTGAGCAACTTGGTTAAGTGGAAGGTGTCCCTGCCCTTAGAAGGTGTCCTTGCCCTTGGCAGAGGTGATTGGAACGAGATGATCTTTGAGGTCCCTTCCAACCTAAACCGTTCTATGAATCTATGAATTTTGGGAGAGAGCAATCTCGGAATCTCCTGACATCCTGAACCTGTACGGAAAAAATTCAGAGACTTGCACTCTCCTTGAAAGGTTTGCAGCTGTCACATTGGATGTACTAGTGAGAAATTGGTTTGGTCAGATCACAGAGAAATTTCGAAGTAATCAATCTGTGTAAGCTTTCTCCTTAAAGGCCAACTTTTAAACTTTTTTGATTTCTATTTTATTTAAAAGTACAAAGCAGACTTAATTACCTTACCTTGGAGGCAAATTCTCTGTTTATTTTATTCCTAGTTGAATGGGTTGACAGGTGAATATACTAAATTATATTCTTTTTCTGAGGAAATGTTCTTAAAACATGTGAAGACCTCTCTTTAAGTATAATTTATTCTAAATGGAAAATATAAACAAATTGACATTTCGAGATTATTTTTGTGAGTGCAAGTTTCTGAGTAATAATGCTGTGACAGACCTGCTATAAACAGAAATATAACTGTCTCTTTCCATGCAGAATTTCCAGTGGCATTTTCAACAGATACACTAAAATTATTTCAGGGTGTGTTTTGTATAATTGGTAGCTTTTAGGGATGGATATCAGATGATGACATGTCATCTTTTTAATATCTGTGATGTTCTTCGGCAGAAGATGGTTCATTCCATCTGCAGGGTGTGAACTATGATCTAATACTTTTCCTTCAACTCTGGTGCAAAAGTCATAGAATCAGAGAATCAGAGAATCAGATGGGTTGGAAAGAACCTCTGAGATCAAGTCCTACCCTTGATCCACTACCACCACAGTTACTAGACTGTGGCGCTGAGTGCCACATCCAGTCTCTTCCTAAATACCTCCAGGTATTTAGGAACCTCCACCACCTCCCTGGGCAGCCCATTCCAATGCCTGATTACCCTCTCTGTAAAGAATTTCTTCCTAACATCCAACCTAAATGTCCCCTGGCAGAGCTTGAGACCATGCCCTCTTGTCTTACTGATAGTTGCCTGGGAAAAGAGACCAACCCCTACCTGGCTACAACCTTCTTTCAGGTAGTTGTAGAGAGTGATGAAGTCATCCCTGAGCCTCCTCTTCTCTAGGCTAAACAACCCCAGCTCCCTCAGCTTGTCCTCACAGGACTTGTGCACCAACCTCGTTGCTCTTCTCTGGACCCACTCCAACATCTCAATGTCTTTCCTGAACTGAGGGGCCCAGAACTGGACACAGCACTCCAGGTGTGGCCTCACCAGTGCTGAGTACAGGGGAAGGATCACTTCCCTGCTCCTGCTGGCCACACTGTTCCTGATCCAGGCCAGGATGCCATTGGCCTTCTTGGCCACCTGGGCACACTGCTGGCTCATGTTCAGCTTCCTGTCAATCAGCACCCCCAGGTCCCTTTCTGCCTGGCTGCTCTCCAGCCACTCTGTGCCCAGCCTGTAGCGCTGCAGGGGTTGTTGTGGCCAAAGTGCAGGACCTGGCACTTGGCCTTGTTGAACTTCATTCCATTGGAATCAACCCAACTCTCCAGCCTATCCAGGTCCCTCTGCAGAGCCCTCCTGCCTTCCAGCAGGTCGACACTCTCCCCTAGTTTGGAGTCATCTTCAAATTTGCTAATGGTGGACTCAATCCCCTCATCTAAATCATCGATAAAGATGTTAAACAGGACTGGGCCCAGCACTGATCCCTGGGGGACACCACTGGTGACCGGCCGCCAGCTGGATGCAGCCCCGTTCACCAGCACTCTCTGGGCCCGGCCATCAGCCTTTTCTTAAACCAGCACAGAGTGCCCCTGTCCAAGCATTGAGCTGCAGCTCCCACAATATGCTGTGGGAGACAGTGTCAAAGGCTTTGCTGAAGTCCAGATAGACACATCCACAGCCTAGCATATGTTCTCAGTAACAGCAGACAACACTACAGTTATCTGTGGTCTCGTTCCTATTTCTGAGAAATTATTCTATAATGAACATCACTCAGTAGTATATATTTCACACTTCTGCTTTTTAATTTTTTAATAGTGTAATACAAATTTCCCTATGGCAGCATGCTTTGGTTAAGTTTTTTTTTTTAACTTTCATCTATTGCTATCAGATTTTTCTGTCTTTCATGACTGTGAAATGCAAAGTATTAAAAGATATGAGTATCTATAATCACATGAATCTTAGCAGCATTCCCAATTGCCATTGGGTTTTTTTTGCTAGTGAGCAGAAATATAAGAATTCATGTCGGGCTTTAATAGCTTGACATGAAAGAAAACAAATGAAGATACAAGAAAAATCTGTTCAACCTCTTTTCTCTACAAACCATTCACATCTTTTTTCCTTTTTCTTTGTAGGGAGATGGTTCTCCTCACCACTTTCCTCTCAGTTCTTAAGGGCTGGGATGCTGCCCTCCTTAAGTATCTTATTGCCACCGAATTTTCCATTTCTGATATTTCCAGTGTTTTACTGCCTGTGAATTTCTCTCAGTAACTGTCAGTCCTTCTTTTCCATTAAATCTATTTCCAAACTATCTTAGGGAGTGGTTGCACCTCTCCTGTTTTCCAACCCTTTTAGTGTACCCAGCCTGACTTGATTTTCAAACTGTCTCTTTGTGGTGGTGCATCCCCCCGCTGCCTCCTTGAGCTGCACTATGATTTCAGAAATGCTCAGTGGGCCTCTACTTTGACGCAGAAAATTACTGTGACTAAAGCCAACTGTCTTGTTGTTGACCACCATAAACAGTGGTCCTAAGTGAGACCCTTTGAACTTTCCTGTACTACAGTGCTTATGACAAGAAATCTCCCTCTGGGTAGGCACCTCAGAGCAAGCACCACAGTCAGAGGAGGCCACCAAACACTGATGCCCCCACTCCTTGAGGCTCAACCTTTCACATGTTGAGAAGGTGCAAAGGCATCCCATGTGAGCACTGAACTTGAGGGGATTTTTCACAGGTATATACCTTGTAACTCCTTTAGGTCTGTATGCAGGCAAGTGTGAATATGCTATATCAAATGTACTATGAATGTTGCTCTCTTAAATTCTCAAGTATGTTAGATTTGTAAGGA